TACATCATGACAACGGACATATATATTTACTCCAATAGTTACTTATGTGACTAGATAGAAGTAGGTAAATATAGATTAATTTTATAAAGTCTTCTAAAAAAGCTTTCCAGAAGCTTCATAGACGTTGTTTTAACTTTAGATATATTTGTAGGATAGAAACTTGGCCAACAAGTTAATCACATATTGGTAGCTTATGGAAGAAGTTAATTCCATGTAGTAGCTTGTGCAACAAGCTATCTATGTGGCGCATATATAAATAACTTGCCTTGCGAATTAAGACATGTGGCTAGCAAAGTCAACACATGTTGGAAGTCCTATAGAATATTGTCACATAGCTCTTAGTTAGAAAGTATATATGGAGGCAAGAGTGAAGCCTTCTTCACTCTTGGCAATGCCTTTCTAATCCTTAGTCTTGTTTCAAGACTTTTTAGTCTTCTTATTTTTTGTAATATCCATTCCAATTCAATATTCTATCATCTTTGAGTGACTTTTTAGTTCCTTTCAGCAATACAAGAATGTATTGAGGATTTTCTTTCTTTGAGATTCATATCCTTGACAATAATATAGCCATTAGGTAATAGAAAAAAATATATATTTTATTATAGAAGAGCCTAATTAAAAAGACATAGTAAAAAAATATAGATAAAAAATAGGTAACTAATAAAATCTTGTAATAATAAAAATATATATTTTAAAAATAGATTGCATTTATTTTTTATGGCTATAAATAAAGTAAAATAAGATAGATTTCAAAAATAATATAGTTACATGTAAGAGAGATTTAGGAATTGGTATTACTAAAAATTATTTCAAAAATAAAAGAATTGATACTTAATAAAGATTAGTTGTCAATCAAACTTTAAAGTATAAAATCAATCAATTATGCTATTTTTAGAGTAATTTTATAAATTAGAGAGTAAAGTTTAAAAAAAACTTTAAAAAAAAATTAAGTTAATTTTATATCATTTGAATTAATATTAAGGTTTTTTTCTATACCTAGGTATCTAATGAATTTTCAAGCATAATTCACATAATACAATGGTCAGCTACATTTCCAAAGAATAGAATAAGCTTTGTATTCTTAAAAATTTGGCAAAAGTTTTTAGTCAGATGTTGCATGCAAACTTCATGATATGTCTCAAGAAAAGTAGTCTCAACGACTTTAATAAGTCCATTTTATCTATTCGACAAAAATATAATTTTTTTTTGTATATCATTTTATTCAAAAATAATAAAGAATTCAAAAAAAATCAGCATCAATTTTCATTGGTTTTTGCATTATTGACACCAAAAACAATTGAAAACAATGCATTGTCTACATCTATTCTTGTAGCACAAAGAAGTGTTCTCAGATACTTGTTTTTTAAATGAAGTCTACAAATACCAATTACTAGATAATAACTAGAAATAAAGTCTTAAATTGATGCATAATAAATAATAAAAAGTCTAGCAAATTGATGCTTTGAATATCTAGTTGTTTATATACTAGCTTTGTTTTTAAGATTTGTTGTATTGATTTATTTATAATAAGCCTGCAAATATTTATAACCCTCTTTAAAAGTACCATGGATCATATTGGCTTTTGTTCTTTTTGATCTCCAAGCTTTTGAACATAAGATATTAACTCCATGCTCTTGTCTTAAGTCTTAAATAATCTCTTTTAGTGAATATCTTAGAGATTCTTTCAATTTATCAATAATATAAGTGGTTGCCAAAAAAGTAGTTGTCCAAAAATTAGTTGCTTAATAATTTTTTAAATACACAAGTCTTATATAATTATATTTATCATTGTAACTTTTGATAGTTGTTGTGTCATAAGTCACAAATCATGTCATATAGAATCTCTAGATATGGTTTTTGGTAGAATACTTGACACTGTATTTATACTTATTATATTTAATAGTGGCCAAATCAAAATTATCAATAATAGTTGCTATGTCAATAGATTATTTAATAATAGTCAAGTTTTCAAAGTATTAGTGAATAATAAAAGAATTGTCCATGGTATTTATGAAAAGAGAGAAAGAGAGATGGTAGGTAGAGAGTAGGACATGTTGTAATAAAATATGGAACAAAATGATAAGAAGTAAGACAAGAAGTGTAGCGAGAGGCGAGATAAAGAAGACAATGTCATGCTGAGAAGTAGCATAATATATTAAAATAATATAAAATATTATAAAAAATTGATTTATAATAAAGAAATAAAATAATATATATAAAATAAAATAAAATAATAGAAAAAAGAGATGGAAGAGATTAAAGGAATGAAGTGGTGATAAAAAATAAATAAATAAATAAATTATGATTACAACTACAGATTTTAAGTGTCACAACTCAAGGAATAAAAGGCTAGTCAATTATATTATTTTTTTGCTTACTATTCATACTAACAATTTCAAACCTTGTATTGCCCATGTCAATCAACAAGTTTAATAGGAAACAAATCCAAACCGACTCAAATAGCATAAATTTCACCAACTAATCAAATTTGTGACTTGATTTTTGATATTTTGTATATAAGGCTTTTATTGTCCTTGTCTTAAATTTTATTGGATTTCAATCCTTATTTTAATTTCTCTTTTTTTATCTTTTATATTTCTTTTAGATTTATAAGTTTATTTTGAGATAGTTTAAATCAAGAAGTTTTATTAAATAAATTTATATATACATATTTATAGATATTGATAGTTTATCTCCAAAGATAAGTTAAGATAAGTTCATATGACCTTGAGATAAAGTGATAAGATACTAAGGCCAAGAGATATGGACTAAGATGGAGTAATATAGGCTTGTATTGACTTTTAGATCTCTCTTTCCTTCTCCTTTGCTTAGACTCTCTTTCCTTAGATATAGCTAGTCACTCTTTTAAGGCTTTTTGATAGTTTGTTTAGAATTTGGATTTGAGATTTTGATGAATTTTTTTTTCTTTATAAGCTTTTTAGAAAGCTTTCATTTTCTTCAAGAAGTATTAATATAAAGTTGTGGTATCTTTTTTTGAAAAAAGAAAAATTAGCAACCTTGTGTTAATATGATCTATGGCTTTGTTTGCTCATAAAATATGTTATACAAAATTTTAAGATGTTAAATTTAATTTATATATGTATAGATCAAGTAGCTTTTTAAAGAACCATTACATATTCAATTCTAAAAAAGTATGGAGTTATGGCACCTAGTTGACTAAAGAAAGGTGTCAACTACTACATACCATCAAGAGTTATTATATACAATAATTTTGGTTGCTCATAAGATTTTGTACACAATTTTTTAGATAATAAGCTTTTATGTATATTTAATATAAATAAGTAGATTTATAAAAGAATATTACATGCTCTATTTTAAGATATTAAGGATCCATAGTATTTACTTGAATCAAAGGTGGATCAATTACCATAAATTCCATAAGCGGTAATTTTTAATGCTTATAGAATGTAATAAGTAGTGTTTTAGAAAGCAAGATTTGGTGTGTATAGAACATATAAAGGTAATTTTTCAAAAATTTATTACATGTTTTATTTCAAGATAGTATGAAGTAGAAGAGTTCATTTAAATAAAAGGTAGTGTTTGACCATATCTAATTGCAACTAAAAACCTCGTGTTTTCTTGAAGCAAACTCTCTGTCACGGCCATAATCATGTAAGCTAATAATTACATATAGAAATAGATAGAAGTAAGTAAAAGTAGATAAAAGTAAGTTAATTCTATAATATTTAATATAGAAGCTTCCTAGAAACTTCCTACACGTTGCTTTGACTTCATAGGTGTCTTTAATTGACTTTTTGGATTAGAAACGTGGTCAACAAGTTGGCCATGTGCCACACATGTTGTTAGCTTGAAGATCAAACTAACTATGTGGCCCACACGTAGAAAAACTTGCCTTGTAAGTCAAGGCATGTGTCCTACAAAGTCAACACATATTGGAGGTCCTATAGAACATCGCCACGTAGCCCCTAGTTAGATAGTATATATAGAGACAAGAGTGAAGGCTTCTTCACTCTTGTCAACTCCTTTCTTGCTTCTAGTCTAGTTTCAAGGGTCTCTAGTTTTCTTGTCTTTTGGCAATAGCCATTCTAGTTTCTCTTTTCAATATGCATACTTATTATTCATATTTTGTTACTTTTCTTTGAGTGAAGGCTTACTTGTGTGAACTGTTTTTTCATCGAGTTCTTGTCCTTGACACTCTCTCTCTACAACTACAACAAGAAGCAAGACAAGAGGAGAGATAGAAATGGACTCTATCTCCTTCTCTTTTAGATTTCCAACCACCTCATATCAATAACCAAAAAAAATATACTATTTATCAATAAAGATTCATGAGTCATACTAGATACAATAGTTCTTGTAGCTCCAAAAATAATTTAATTCACATCTCTTACATAACTAATAGGTGAATAATCTTTAGAGAAGGATACATTGTAGAGGACATGCACAAATAGCCAACAACTTTGTTCCTTTAATGATAACATAAAGAAGCAATGATGATAGTTTTGATGTTCTCATGTATTTTTACTTGAACTCAGTTCTTATTTTTATTGGAGACTTTTTTTTAGGAAAGACACCTCTAAATTATATAACAGAGAAATATTAATAATTAAAAATTTGATAGGAATATATTTGTAATTAAAAAAAATTTAGAGATATGTTTGCAATTAACAATTTGATAGGGATATATTTGCAATTAAAACTTTATTAGGATTGTATTTACAATTAAAAATTGGTCAAGGATATATTTATATTTTAAAAAATCGGGGGTATATTTGAGAATTTTTCAATTTTTAATAACCATAAGGCACTTAAGATAATTGGGATTTTCTTATTATTGCCTCAAACATGCACCCTCATAGACCATCCCCTTCATTGTTATTTGATACCGAAGCCAAACACGAAAGGCTTCATCTTCAATCAGTCGACGAGAATTACACATTCATCGATGTTGGAGATTGATAACCGGTTGAGATCCTACCTGCCCGTCCGGTTCGCGATGAAGGTAAAGGTTTCGACACACAGTCCGAGACACTCGAACTTCATTGTCTCTGAATTAGGGTTTGGTGGATCGAGACCTTGAACAGATTGTATGTTGATTTCTTGTAACAAGTCAAGTGTTATAAGTTACGATCAGTGAATTACGCATCAAACTTGTGGAAAGTTTTCTGGTCGTTTGATTTTACTTGGCATTGAAGTGCTTGCCGAAGTTGTGTAGAGATTGCTGTGCTTAGTGCACCTGGATGCCTCATGATCAGTTTTCTTCACGGATACTGGGCACTTTAAAGTCTCGATTGTTTCACTGAAGAGCGGTTTGAGTGATTTCTCAGTGCCGTGTCTTGTCTCATCTGTACACTTGCTACGTGGGTTACTCGTTGCGACATTCTCGTGGTTGGGTGACTGCAGATTTGGTCACAATCATGGTGGGTGCCAATGTCAAGGCGGAGACGGTCACTATGATGGACAAACGAAAAGCCATGGAGACAGAGATGGATGCAATTATCGCTCGTCTCACTGTGTCAGGAGGACCTGGTCTGCAGGATAACCTAGTTGACGCTCAGGTGTGTTCCTTATCGTTAGTTGGCTCTAAACTCTGTGGCCTCTAGAGGATTTAAGGGCATCATTAGTACTGTGAGAGAAAAGTATTTTTATTTTCCCGAATTGACGCATTGGTCAAGTTTGTAAAATCCTCATGTTTTGGAGTATGATTCTGTATGTATTCAATTAATGCACTGTTGGTAATATGAAGTGTATATACATATATTTTATTTTATTTTGTATTAGGGCTTTCCAAGGGCAGATATTAACATACCTGCGGTAAGATCCGATCGGCAGCGGCTAACAGGTGAAGCTTCTTCCTCCTTTGGTGTCTTCTTTGGGGAGATTTTGACATGAGGAAGTGACGCCTTGTTTTTTTGCACTTTAATTGAAAGAAGCGTTAGTTGATAGAATTTTCCCCTCTGGTTGTTATTGCTGCTATCTTAATTCCAAGCCGCTGTACAGCGCTTCGCAATGATCATAAGGAGATCACGGACGCGATCGAAAAAAATCTGGTTATCTTACATTCCGGAGGCTTCACGAGAGGGTCATCACAGTCAGATAAGCTTCCAGGTCTAACAGCTCACACTATCCTTTGATTATATGATGATCACTGTGATTGTTTAGCTGCGAAGGACTATTTGGATGTTATAGATGGAATATCTTGTTGCAACGGTGTATGCTGATTCTTGTTTGCAAATGAAAAGAAAAGTAAAGAATAGTGAGAGGCTACCGATCAATTTGTGAGTTAATACATGCGTTGAATTGCTGGCAAATTTGAGGTTGCGTTTTACTGCTCCATCTTTCAACAAACACTCCTGGAGTTTTAAGATATTCTGTTGCTCCTCTTCCACATAGACTGACTTTACAAACGTGAACCTCAGAGGCTGAGGTGGTGCGGCCATCATCAGGAGCATCACCCATGGAAATAGCACCTGGGACTGAAAGCACAACCGCTGAATCGCCTTCCCCGATGGATGAGGATCCATACGAATCCAGTCTTCCTTTTGCAGTTTTTGATGATGTTACCCAAGGCTCGCCAGCAGCGATCGACGGCATCTTGATTGGAGACCAGCTAGTGAGATTTGGAAGTGTGGACAGAGAGGAAAATCTCCTATCCCGGCTTGCACAGGAGGGTCTCACCAACGAGGGACGAGGCTTGCCGGTAATTGTGCTTAGGCGAGGTGAACGTGTATATTTGACAGTCACGCCCAGGAGGTGGTCAGGCCGTGGCCTACTTGGGTATGCCCTCTTTTAAAACTGCTTCCAATGCGATTTGACCTCTTCAATGTACAACACGTGTAGAATGTTTAGACATCAGAAAGTGAAGTTAGAATTCGCACACCGAGCTGTTACTTTGTGTAGTTGCTTTTTCTTTTTGTTTTTTTCTCTAAAATCGTTATTGATATTTGAAACCTGTGTTGTTGGCAGGTGTCACGTTCAGCCTCTATGACGATGTATTTTTGAGAGACACAAGTTTTTAATGCTACTGATGTGGTCTTCAATGTATGGAGAGGAAGTGCAAAGGTTGCAATTAGATCTACACATGAGTATCCAATCTGGGGCAACTTCTTGTTCTGAAAGGTTTAGTTTTGCTAATGAGACTTTTTAATGAGAGCAGGAAGCTTTTCTGAATCAAACAAATTTTTCATAGTTCACCTTTGCATAAACTATGCCCAAGTTTGTATCATGTAAGAGTGGTGAGCGTTAGTATTTATGGACTTCTCATACGTGTCTATGCTTTTAGTTCTCCATTGTTGTGTATCAAATTTAAATAATTAAGTTAATCGAAGGCTTCAAACCTTTGTGCAAGATGAAATTTATCTTGGGTCCAGACAATGAGGTATGCTCAAGTTGATAATACTTTAGAAAAAATCAAGAACTTATAAAAATCAGTTAGTGTGTAGTCGATGCAGAATTATAATGCATAAAAGAAGCTGGCAAAGATGGGTAAGTTTTAATCTCTTTGTGTTAAAAAAAGAATCAAGAAGTAGACAAAAACAATATTAATATTGAGCATGACAAGATAATAGAATGGATATATTAAGACAAAAAAACAATCTATATAATACAAAGTAAGTAAAATTTAAGTGCTAAATCACTAATTGAAGATGATGGTGGTGGTGTTTATTTATACCTTTGAGAAGAGAAAAGAAAATAAAGAAACGAAGAGAATAAAAAATCTAATGTATTAATGACTTGTCATACATTTTATTAAAGTTTTAAGAAAAAACTTTAACTATGATTATTTACAATAAGTTTTTGTAGAAGCTAGTTGTGAAGATTTGTTTCTGAAAATTTGCGGGACTTTTTAAATAATGTTTTTTTGTATTGCAAAAAAGTTCTGAATAGGATTTTATACGTACTAGAAAACTACAGAATATTTTGGAAAGAATTAAAGAAATTTGATTCTTCAATTGTATTCTATTAATCAACAAATTCCATGAGAAGAAAATTCTTATTATTCTCGAATTTTAAGACATTGGGAATGTGCATGTGAATATGTATGAAAGAATGATGTAAAGTATTTGTCAAATGTTTTGCGTTTTGGTCATTTTTGAAGTGCTTTGGGGGTTCTCAAAGCCAACAATAACATCCAACTTCAAGTTAATAAGAAAGAATTGCTAGGTACCCATCCCCATGCTGCACTTTTCTTATTCACACTAAAAAGTTTTAGGTTAAATTTAGCTATGATATCATACATACCCCTAAAATTTGCTGAAATATCAAGAATATCCTTGTATTCTTGATAATAGCAAATATACCCCCCAGTTTTGTGATAATATCAATTCTGCCCTTGATTCTAATAAGTTATCACAACTGCTTTGCTTTTAGGTTCAAATAGGCCCTTTCATCACTTTTCTCTCTTTGTTCTTGTTTTTGCAATTATCATGCAAATTTCAAGGGTATGTATGATATTTTCCCTTAAATTTATAATAAAGGTTTTTCCAAATGAAATTTTGGAGTTCTTAAAATTGAATGAAAGAATTATATAAAATGAAACAAAATAATTTTGGGATATGTACTGATTGATCGATTGTACATTTTGCCCTGTAAATCCATACAACGATCTTTTCCATTATCCCATATCTTGTACATCGTCAAGGAAAGCCACCTTTATTGATAATACCACCGAAGTATATAAACTTGTGACGAACATAATAACTGTGACTAAGAAACTAAAACAAAATTTGGGATTAGGATCGAAAATCCAACAAGGCCGGTATCACAATAATTACAAGAAAAGTGGCCATCGTGGGAGCATTGCGAAGATTCCATCTATCTGAACGGCAACGGCACCGATGTCTAAACAGCTTGTCCAGAGATGCTTGCTAGCGTTCTTCATCCCAACCTATGATCAGACAAATTCCTTACAAGTACAAGAAGACCAGTCATGCTGTTTGTTAGTGGTCTTTTTGTTGTTGTTGTTGTTGTTGTTATCAGCTGGTTTTGTATTGCCTGGTAAGCAGATGGAGAAGAGGAGCTCACGATGCCCAGCTTTCAACGAGGAGTAGCCGCCGATATGGCTTTCCATCCACATCCGCCTTGACGTGCCGGGAGATCCGGCGAATCTGGTGGAAGAGGTTGAGTTCGTCGTTTATAAGGCCAAAATTTGCGTCCGGGTCACCTATTTGTGAAACCTTGACTTGAGAGAATCCCAGATTGGGGAGAAGCTCTTCAGGCCAGTCGCTATGAAAGTAGAAGTGAGTTTTCAATTCGTGGGCTAAGTGGGTAGACGATTCATTCATGAAGTCTGCCAGCACCACGGTTTCGTTCATGCAATTCTGGGCAATGAACTTCAGTGTTTCCATCGCACAAACGTCCTGCAGGTAGTACAACAACCCCTCTAAGATCCAAACGGTGGGCAGATGTACCTCGAATCCAGCAACCTTCAGTTTCTCAAACCAGTCGTCTGTTGCGATGTCTGCGGCGACTCTGTTAAGGCTCTCTGCCTGAAGGGCGGGCAGGCGCTCCCCCGCTTCCACCATGGCTTGCAGGATCGACTCCTTCAAGTGCAAGGCTTTCGCAGAGTCCACTTCGAAGACAGAGCAGTTATTGAGTATCGGAAGTCGGTAAGCGCGAGCATCCATACCTTCAACACATAACCACGTCACAGGCAAAGAGCAGTGTTAACACCGAAGGGTCCGTAATTCCCATCGACTCAGCGGACATATATATGTCGAACGATCAGTGCACTGGCATTACGTTGCATTGTACTATCCAAAGCTCAAACAAATCAAGTAACGTTTCAAAATAATGGAGATTTACATCATCCCTGACCAATTCACTCACTTGCATTCTGCTCAACTTGAACTTGTAACAAATACTACGATACCAGAGACCCTACAGGAACTCAATGGTGAGCCTGTTGATCAAGTTTGGGACAGGGAAAATGACGAAAAAAAACTCTGAAGTAAACAGTATATTCTACTTGTATGCTCAGAAATGCTTGAAAAGTCATGCAGCAAGCGCTTACCAGCACCCAAGAGGACAACTTGGTGACCAGTCGTAATGTTAAACCGGGCTAGAGCTTCTGCAAGACGGGCATCAAACCAAAGCGTTCTCACAGCCATCATTACTCCCGCAGTCTCTCTACCCTTCTTTTCCAGATCACGTTGAACCTTCTCAAGCAGTCGTCGCAGAAAGACGTCCCCAGCGAAGACTTCTGCTAATGGGTCATGTATCACGTGGTTCCACAGTGCTCTCCCTGCTGCTGTCTGACATGCACTCCGCTCTAGATAGTCCTTCTCTGGGTCCAGAGAGTCGTGTAACCTCTTTATGGATTCGAGCTGGCACTGACTAGTCGTGAGATTCAGACTCAGTTTCCTACAGACAGCCACAGAAACAAGCAACACACTCACTGAATACAAACTGAGTAAATTTCTTGAGCTAAACCTGGATTCGAGGAATATCAAATTCGATGACCGCAAAGGTAGAAACGTGTGAAAGTTGTCATCATTCCACCCACCCTAGGCTGAGTTGTGCCATGTCGTCGTCGTTGTCTGCATTTGTTTCGACAGCTATAACATGATGCTGCTCCTTCCCCACGCTCATTCTGAAGAGATCGTGGGATTTGGCCGTGCTAAGCCTGGGGAAGAATCGTGACAACCCGGCTGGGAATTGAGACGCAGCCAAAAGCATGTATGCAGCAAATACACCTGCGCTGGGAATCAGACTAACATAGCCACTGATGCTCAAAGTCTGACACATTTTCCGATATGAGTTATCACCTTAACACAGCCGTATCTCCACAAGCCCATCTGCACAACAAGGTAGGCCAAGCATTAGCATATGATTGAGACTCATCTTCATGATGGAAACACGTGAATAAATTTCCAACTGTCAGCGGCACGTAAACTCACAATACTTTCGAATCTGCCTCGTATGGCAATCCCGTAGGCCCCCTCCAGTCTCTATGCTGTAGAATGAGCCCAAGCGTTACATCGTCCTGCAGGAATACTCAGTACCGGACTCGTACAGAGGTTTTCCGCCGATGTCAAATGACTGCATGCTGGTGCGTATTCTCTCTTGCCAGTGACTAAGGAACACTCCTGGTTCTGTAGTTGAGAAGAAAAACTGAGACTACCGTGTGAGAGAATTTAAACAATCTTTGTGTGAGCTGTCGACGCGACACCTGTCTCGCTCAGTCCCAACGTCACATCTACTAACTAAAATCCCATCAGCTCTGTCGTTGCATACCACTGTTACAAGCGATTAGCTTCCACTTTCAATCAAAACGCAAAAAACAAGGAAAAGTAGCCAAAAAAACCAAAAATCAAATCACAAAACAAAACTGAATCTCTCCCTTCACTCACATCTAACCAACACCACGCAACTCATACACGCTCAGATCACTCCCCCTCCTTCCACTAAAATCCGCGACGTTCAGCTGTTACTAGCAACACTGACGGCGAGAAATGAAAAATCGTTCACGGTAGATTGAATAGCAACGAAGCAAGAGAGCGAAAGGAAACATGGCGACAACGCGGAAGCGATGTAGCGGTGCAGTGGAAGAGGCCGAAGAGGGGGATCCCAGTTGGTGGAGGAGGAGGAATCGAGTGGGGTGGTAGCAGTTGGTCCAGACACCGCGCGGCCTTCCCTTCTGGCCCCGAAGGTGGCCACGATGCCCGCGTGGCCCGACACCCTCCCGCCTACTTCTCGCGTGCCGCATCGCGGGTCCGGGTCCCGGTAGGGGGGGTAAGGTTCGCATCCACGCCCGACCCGTGATTATTCGGGGTTGCGACCTCGAGTCCCCGCAATCGATTCGAGGTTCGGATTGATGGGTTCCACATCTAGGCGTGGAGTTAGGTTCGGGCTGTAGGCTCGAGGATCAGGTCTGGGTCCCGTCTTTTGGATCCTATCCCCGCTTTCTTTGGTTCGGAATTCCACTTGTCGCTTCCTGATGCTGGGTGCCCCAATTGACAACTCAGATATTTTTTTTCTTCTTCTTCTCTCCGGCCACTTTATTTGCTAATTAACTCTCTTCTAATTAACTCTCTTCATGAAGTATGATAGTAATAATTACATGATTATTATTTTTAGGGGAATGTTAAATAGACTCAGGTTTTTATTAAATTGATCCACCCATCATGAAAATACAAATGACCTCTAGATTCATTTCTCCACTACTGGATCTGAAATCAATAAAAATCAACCACATTCATCATGATTACCATATTCTTTATCATAAGTAGATCGATTTTGAAAAAACCTTGGTCTATTTAACATTCCCCTATTTTTATTATTGTTACTATCATTATTTTATCTTGGGATGGAAGGCTGTGAATCAAGATTCACTTAGTGATTCAATTAAAGTTTTGGTTTGTGTTGATTTTTAGCATGTTTAATTCCCTTTCTTAACAAGACATAATTCAGGTGATAGTTTCACATGCTGTTGGTTAACTTAATTTTGTACAAAACAAAAACATGAGTAACTCCGAGTTGCACTATGTGATTCTGATGTGTTTATTTTCAAGATCGACACTTGTACCTATCATAAACATATGCATATTATCTACATAGATTCCAATTGGTCGTTGAACTTATTTGAATAAATTCCCGTCACTTACTCATATTAATATTGCATCCATTGCCACCTAGGTGTAAATATCAATTACAACATGGAATGATAAATATCAAATGTTGGATAATGGGCATAAAAGTAATCATAAAAAAAGGTTTATGAGCATGTCTGCCCTACAATGGACTGACTGCATTCAGTAAGAATCACCACGGCAAAATCTAAGCATTTATAGCTCAATTTGTATCGCATGCTTACCTGAATGGTACAATTATTTGACTTGAGACCCAGAGAAATGTGCAACATTGTGGGAACATTTGAATCAGGATTGGGTAATTTATTCATGCAGATGTTGCGATTCCCACATTCCATGAGAAAAGAAAGTAACTTGCGTGTGAAACCAATGTTCAACAATTGTTTAAACAGCGTACCCTCGCATGTGGAACACATATTTTATGCTACATTTTTACAACTGAGGCAGCTTTACATCTTCTATGCCTTAGAAATCGCCCCTAATGCTCATGTAGACAAGGAATTTGGCCTGTGTACACCCACCTGAAGCTCTGTCATTGATTCTCGGGTTGGACAGATGGATAGCTGCAATAGAAAAGCAAAAGAAATAGTGAAAGTAAGGTATCTAAGTCATAAAAATGAAAGAGTAAATTTCGAACAAATTTTATCCTATGTAGCTAAAATTCTTAACCATCACTGACACTTCAAAACCACCAAGACGATGTTTACAGTAACATTCAAAGTTCGGAAATTAGGAAAGCAGCACTAACAAAAGACAGAGTCACAAGCAGAAATAAACGCACCACAGTATCACCAGCTTAGAACACGAATTTCCTCTAACCCGTTGATTATCAGGTGTTTGAGCAGCCTGAGGACCTCACGCACGATACCTTCCGTAGTGGACGTCCCAATGAAGCCGAGTGTTAATGGACCTTAGAATTAGAACTCAAACTGCACTTTCACGTGTTGTGTGAGACAATACTGGTGAGCTGTAATCCAGTCCATGGGCTGCCACCTGCGAAGTATCACAATCAGTCAGACTCCATTGCAACAGGAAAAGCGGATCAGGCAACACAAGTAAAAGGATGAAATTTGAAGGTACTCTAATTGTAAATAGTAAAGAGGAGCTCATATTTATGAACAGCGTAGAATCAGGTTACTTAATCTACTTTAAAATAGTCTCATTCGTTCGGAAAACCCAAATTAGAATTACAGCACAAATTTAAGGTATGATCCGTATTTTGTCAGGGTTGAAAAACTCTGAAAGCTCATTAAGTCACAAAACACCGCCGTACCATCGCGCTCAAGGCATGATATCTTTCTTGACTCAGAAACAAAGGCTTCCCTCTCCGCAAATCGATGTCCTGCCATGCAACAGTGTTCAAAAAATATAAATACTAAGAATACGCAATATGGAGGTGAATACAATTAACCAAGATATAGTGTGGGTGGAAACCACCCGTGCGCTAGACAAGAAAATTGAGGATTTTCTTGCGAGTCAACCAAAAGCCGTACCTCTTCTCCAAAATCATCAAGATACGGTGATGGCCACATAGCTTGTCGTTTGCACCTTTGCAAACGGATATTGGTTGTCTGAAAGAAGGGGCAGAAGCAGCTCGTGAAGTAATAAGGAAAATCAAACTAGGCATCTGAAAGCTAGGCTTCATGATACAAAATACAAACAGGATGATATATACTCTTGCTTCTTCTCTCAACCCTCAGTTATGAAATGCAGCAGTAATTATGAGCACAATAGACACAAAACCTTACCCGCAGCATCAAAAAGACGCCAATGCCTGCTCCGCAAACCATGGCATGCCTATATAACTCCCCTTGCCTATCCAAATTGTCACACAGAACAGTTCATCAAACGACGTCCGCAGTAGATTTTACGTGGCAGAAGTAACTACAAAACATACTCAGTTTGAGGCATCAACATGATAACAATCACAAATAGGTGGAAAAGTGCAAAATGAATGTTGAAAATAACGTTCACTTCTCATCAGTAAGTACTGTTCAGATCTACCTGAACTGTAGTCAGGAATTACAACCCGGAAATGCTTGACATCTTACGAGCATTGCTCATCAAGCCAAGTACAACTAAACATGCGAGATTTGAGTAACATCCAAAAAGTTAACTATCATAGTACGTAAAGAAGATGGAGGGTAAGGGAACAACCTGCAAATAGACTTCGGACAAGCTGCACAGTAGAGGGCTCCACACAAAAGGCATAATGCTGGCTTATCAGGGACGGAATTACATCGACGGCACCGCTCTTTGACAAATCTACACAAGATTATCACACGATTTTCAAATGCGCCTCATTTAAAAACAAATTTAGCTTAATCCTTCGGAACCTTTGGATTCAATGATAAGCAAATTACGACTTGGCAACTGCGTCACCACCATAAATTAAGGAATAAGAATACGCATTGAAGCCATTACCCATTTTGTTCCAAATTAATTGTAAGAACAGAAATTAATATCCTTTTGGAATCTGTTGCGATAGTTCCACAAGCTATTGCTCACCTCTGCAGTAGATCCTGAAACAGACGTGGTAGTTGCATCATCCTGAACGGAGCTGCTGTTGTCAATCGAGGAACGTCAGGAAAGTATCGCATCCCAGTATCAGTCCTCACATGCCGGCACCAGGTTAGTACGAGCTTTTGAACTGCATTCTCCTCCAGGATCTTTGCTAAAGGTGGAATACAAAAGATACTTTCCAGCTGGTCCAACTCTTCTCCATCTCCCAAGATCTGACTGTTTGCATCCCTTGCATCATTAGAAAACATTGAGGAACCTGTTGGAACCTCGTGTCCCTGTGGCAACTCCCATTGGTGAGCCCTAGCTATGGGAACTATCTGGGCTGAACCAGTGATCAAAGTTTTCAGCAAATAACAACGACGGAGAAAGGGCAACGTCAAGCGCCTGATTGCAACCAGCGCAGGACCTGCAGGAATAGCTATATTCTCATCAACTGATGAAGATTGAAGGCGCGTTCCAATCAAGCTAGCATGGATAGATGCTACGAAAGACACGGTTGTTGGTGCCAACTCGGTGTCTAAAGCTAATGATGTGCCGGCTTGCGCAATGATCTGCAGCCAAACACAACACTCCCAGTTAATGCACAAGTGAATATAATTTACTTATACAAACTATCCTAGATCATTCCGCAAAATACAGCCATCTAAATCGTTGACACAGGTGATAAAAAAATTCAGCTTCTTACAAATGACCTCGGAACACAACATAATCAGCAGAAACACTAGAGCTCCTCAAAAACATACTGATTCCCATGCTTCATACGGCCAATAAGGGATACCATTCTCAAGAGTAAGCGATACCTGGGTAATGGACACCAAATAAAAAAGATGGACGAGTGCTGTAAATGGAGCTCCGTTTGCAGGGAATGGCAACGGTAAGCAAAAAAGCAGCCACATGAACGATGAGAAGGAATCATGAACTAATATTGGATCTGCCATTCTCTTCCAAAACTGTAAATCTGCTGCATTGTGTCCATTATCTAGATTCTGCAAAAGCGAGGAGACATTCCCTGCACGATAAACACCATCTCAATAATGAGAAACAAAACCTCCTAAATCTGCACACACAAAGAAAGGAGAAACATGCCTCGAAAATCACCAATGAGATCTTGTCTTTTGACCAAGAACCGACGATGGGTGATCTAAAAATAACTTCAAGGGAGAGAACTGACCAAAATGGCATAATCTTATGTCATAGAGCCAGTCTTTAGCGAACAAAGTTTCTAATTTATCATATAGTCACGCAATTTACTTTATCAAATTACTACCAAAAAAATAAAATAGAGCAGAGTTATAAATGAATATATAAAATGATCGTTTTTATGCTCCTTCCGTACCATGTAAAGCCTTTTCCGCAGACAAGACCCTAGAGATGCCATTAGCGAGAGAGTCCATCAGCAACTGCAAGCCTCTCGCTCTTAGCAGAATAGCCTGGCGGCTCTGACTTTGTGTAGCTTTAGCAGCATGAAGCAGGAGAGGCAAAACTGATCCATGGGTTGCATCACCGACATTCACCAACGTAACCAAGCCACTGGAATTACTCACTATTAATTCGTTACTCCGAGCAGCCAACTCTGCAGACATAAGCGTGTATCTGAAGACGTCCCAAAGAAGTAGACCTTCATGTACTCGACCATGCTCAAGAAAATAGAACTGGTCGTTTCCAGGATAAAAGAACCAAAGTCGCTTTGCAAGATCGTCTAAAACTCCCCTCAGCATATCGGGGAGTTGTGGATCAACCACTTTCCGAAAACCAGACTTGGAAACCAGTTCTTCTGCTTTGATAAGCATTCGAAATGCATGCTCCAACTGTAGTGTTGTTGGACTGTCAGGAGTGATACGTACTGAAATTTGAGGTGCATTTGGAGTTTTGAATGGACTGTTTAATCCCGTATGGCCAGGTAGAACTGGGAAAACTGAATTTGCAAGCCGTCGACAAACAGGGCAAAGGAACTCCCCCTGCAACCAAAGAAGTAACATAAAGCCACACTTGTAAAGCATCCTCCCTGCTTGGTGTCTTCATAAGGTGGTGATAAATGTACTTGACCATGAAAAAATTGGAATTGGCTTGCATCATGCTTCATCACATGTATCAGACCTAAAACTTGCAAAGTGAATAAAGACATCCTCAAAAAGTGCTAAAGAATCATTGAAAGCTGGACATGAGTTAGTAGACCGTACAAGGTCTAAGTCCACAATCCGCTCTCCCTCAAATGGAGCTCTACTATTATATCTGTAACACCAACAGACAAAAAAAAAGAAAAAAAATAAAAAAAAAATAAAACACTGATGATTACGCTCAATACATGTATCAGTTTCATCCACAACAAATAACAATGCAAGCATCATTAAATGCATAAGAAATTTACATGGTAACAAAAAACTTGCCTAGAAAAAGTTGCGCGTAATTATATCCTTGCACTTCATAGATCATACAAAGTGTACTGCTTTACAAGTTAGTGCCAAAATTTTCGGACTCCAAAAAAAGTATACAATCGCACCTTTGCACGAGCGAAGAAAAGTATCGGTTGTGACAATCCTGATGAACAGCATGTCCACAGGCAGAAAGATAGATGCCAACGGGATCATTCATTCCAATCCTGCTGTGTAACATGGATTCGGTAGCCCTTCTCGCACTCGTCAGATTACCCTCCCACCCTTGTTCTGCAGGTGCCTGCACCGATGACTGTAATCCTCGACAAACCAATGCTTGAGGTCGAGAGACAACGGCGACATACTCTGCCAAGACAGTCTCCGCTGCAATGTCTCTGTTAGAACTGCTACCTTCTTTCTCAGTCCTCTCATGATTGTCCTCCCACCAGTTCATAAGTAAGGCATCTGCGAAATTTATCAGCCCAATACCAATCAAACTTAAAGGAGGACGAGGTCGTGATTTATCCAACCCGAAAGCAACACAAAAACAAACATAATTGTTTTGAGGAAGTATTCATGGCCTCATAACAGCTAAATACGACAGCGTTCTGCAGCAGAATTGTTCTTAACAACTAAAATAACAGCAGAATAGTATCAAAGAGGGTTACAAAAGAATCCATGAAGATCTCGAACAAATATCAACAGGATAAAGATCAAAGTCAAAGGTCTTGGATAGGAGTCACAAACCTGAAGTGTCACTGGTCCCAACTTCACTGCTGATTTCTAAATCGGTTATCTCACAGCTAGACTCTACTTCCTCGGATTCTGTGTCGCCAGAAGGTGCAACAGTTGCCTCTGAAGTTACGGCTGGGGTTGATGGAACTGCATTTCGTAAACCCAGAGGCAATCCATTGCGAAGAAGCTCAAAAAAGTTCTCTCCTTCAAGTAAACGTGTCCGAGTTGGAGCATCCACCAAAGTTTCCTGCATCCAACGCAATAGCTCTACCGTGCTTTGCAAATTTGGATGTGTTCCATCTCCAACAGGGGTGCACATGGTGCTTGGTCCACCAGGAGCCACACCCTCTCTTTCCGCTTGTAGTGGGAGCACAACTGTACGGTGATCCCATGATGGTGTGGTCCTCTCCGTAATTTCCAGAAGGTTAGATTTCTGCAGAGGAAAGAAGTCGGCAGAACCAACTAATAAGGAAGTATCCATGAGAACATGCATATTGCTAGTACACCCAAAATCAAAGGAATAAAATGTGAATCTTAACTTCTTCAAAACTGTAAACGTGGTCTTCAGAATAATAATAATGAAGATGAATGGAATGAGACAGGAAACCATATAGTTCATTGGAAAATAAATAACAATAATTTGCATCATGGAAAATTGGTGCAAAACACAATTTGGCAACGAATTCCACTTCAATTATGACTGGATAGCAGGAGCACACTTTCTCCGCATATGAAAAAACCATGAGTTTGTGAGGTAATTTGTGGTACCTGAATGAATGTCAAAAAGCATAATGGACTTGCACTTGCCGAGTCTAGACAAAGTGCACAGTGTAATTGGGTTTCTTTACATACATCATCACTTCCCCCTTCTGACTTTCTTGCACGTTTCGCATCTGCTTCTTCTTCTCGCCCTTGACTATTGCCCTCTTCAGCACACTGGTTAACCACGGCAAATCGCTCTTGTGCAGCTTTCATTTTTGCCTGCAATTCAAAACTAGCAGCTTAAGACTCTTCTTTAAAGTGCAATCAAGTACGTCAATTAACCTCTTAGTCTCCGAAGTTTGAATCAAATCAACCATTGAAAACCATCTAATTCTCAAACATTGGCCTTAATTCACAAGATGAGATGACAACATCTCTGTAAACAAACTAGTTTCTTCAACTAGATTGATGTTACGTGATCGAAATAAAAGAAATTGGGAACAAGCTAAGATAGAAGGGAAGGCCAACAAGAATCCGGAGACCATATGACTTCCTTGGAAGTGGTACGATCACCAAGGGATACAATGTTGCTTGAAGAGGCTTTAAAATGAGGATTCTGTCCAATAACGGTGCAGCGTCTCAACAAAACAATCCATTGAACATGAGCAACTAAGTGTAGTTCAGTGCGCAACATAAACGAACAGAACTTACATTAAAAAATCAAAGGCTCGGCCTCTTACCATAACAGCTGCCTGACGTTTGCGAACAACAGCTCTTGTTATGTCAAATTCAGAAACTGAAGAAACATCCTTACTTTTGTTGTCCCCCGAACCATCTGCCCAATGTGTAGCACCAGTAGCAGGAGTACGCTGGAAGATCTCAGGAGCTAGCAACTCAATTTCACCCAGACAGTTTTGGTTTAATTCGCCGAACCGCAGTAGAAGGTTCTTTATCAAACCTCCAACTCTAAAATTCCCAAGAGCGGATGTTGCCATATTATCTCCAGTGTTATTCTTTCGCAAAACCAGCACTAGTGTAGATAGCATACTCTGCTGCTCCTCCATCATGCTTCCATCTTCTCTTGCTACTGCAACCCTCTTCACAGAGTCTAGAAGCAGTGGTGGGGTATCCTCGCAATTTTTGTCAGTAGAACACATATCAAGACCAAGAGGTCTAGAAATTGTTGATGAAGCTCCAGGTGTGGCGCCCTCAGCTGACATTTTGTATGCAGAACAAACATCCAATGCCAAAGCTAATAGATGTAGAGCACTCAAGAGCAACCCCTCTGGTGCCCGTGATTTAGATGGGTTCTCAGCAAAGGCAGCATGGAAGAAGACAGAACGAAGCATGTCATGAACTCGACGACAGATGCTGAATTGACCCAAATTTTGAAACTGCTTGTATGGTTGCTTCCAGCGAGGTAATTGAACAAACATAGCAGGAACTTTACGTGCTCTCAAGTAACGATCTTCAGCTACTTGGATATTCCGAGAATTCCATCGTAGATGATAAAGGTCCAGCTCACACCAATAATCTTCTCTCAAAACATACTTCCCCTGTTGTAGGAAAAGTCGTGTGTAAGTCGGTGAAAATCAAATGAATCACCCATACAGCACTAATTTCAACAAAAATTACCTCTATAGATGCCCAAAGCAGCAAGGAGCTTCAGTCAAATGTGTATCTAAGATTCGTGAATGGAATAAGAGTAAAAGACATTTCTGCAAGAAAAACTTGGCAAAGTCCAGTACGAAATCAACCTGCTGCATCCCAGATGGATTACGATACGTTGCTACTGAATTCAAGATTTCTTGTACATGCTTGCTTCCTCGTAGACGTGGAGATAAAGCCTTCAGTAAGACACTGTGAGTAGCATCTCCAACAGCTAGTCTCCAGACAAGATCTCGCCGTATAGCATCGACTTCAGTGATTCCGCAAAAACCACGCTCTGAGACTAATCTAATCATTAGTACTAATAACTCCTGTGCCAGAGTCACTTCATACCTGCATTCATAAGTGATTGAAGTGTCACCAAGAGGTCATCATTTTAAGATCTAAAGACCTTTCTGCCGGAATCTTGCGAGCAAAGCCGGAACAGCATAAATCAACCATATTAAGATTACAAAGAAGCACCATTACACTTCACAAGTTAGGGCTATTCGCAGCTTCACTTTTACAGTTCACCCAGACTAAACACATTGCTCACTCACTCACTGCTACTTAAGTGACAAGGCTGATCGAGAAAAGCTTACTCGTTGGGGCAAGAGAGCACGAGTGTGAAATAATCAGACAGTAAAAACCGAACTTGAAGACGCTCAACAAATTCTTCAGGAGGTGCCATTACTGCGCAACACTGCAGTAAAAATAAATCTAGCTCGAGGCTGTCTTCACACCTGGTAAAACCTAGCAAAGTAAGCCTCATCTTTTCACCATTTTGGAGCACTTATATCATTAACCGCAAACCAACAAAGCAATTGAAACACAAATACCAGTTTGGTATCTACAGCTCTTCTCATAACATACAAAAAAAAAAAAAAAAAAAAAAAAAAAAGGGAACGAAATTCGAATGTCTGATGCGTTGCTCAAGTCATAAGTGACCTGTGCAATGACAAACAGCTTACCAATGTACAGTGTGATAGAGAATACTTAGATCATTGGATGAAATCCCATTGTAACGCCACATTCCGGCCTGAACTTGTGCACATAAAACTTGAAGCCGAAGAGGATGCTCCAAAAGCACAGACGTAAATCCTGGTGGAAACATTTGTGCCAGAAACCTCTCGCCAGAAGCATGGACATTTGGAGACACAAAAGCTGGACCAGCGGATGCTTCAGTATACAAAGCAAAATAATCAAGAGCCTTGTGGAGTAGCAGTCCAAGCATGCGATGCAGTGGGATGTGGAAGGATACCTCCTGACGGCTGACATCAAAATCTACAACTGCCCACTCATCAACTTCACAGTTTGCTGTAGGCGCTAGATGTACTGGTTCTGAGCCCATCCACCATTCTGTAACACCAGCTTTCGCCACTGGCTCTGCTTCACCAATATCTACGTCGACATCACCTTGATTTTGCGGAACCGACAAAAATCTACCCTTCCCATGTTGCACTTGAGTTGCACTCCGTTGTTCCGACTCTTGGCCACCTTCACAACCAGACTGCCCTGATTTTGCGACCTCTCTCGCAGCATCTAAACGAAGCCAAGTGTCAAGAACTTGGGTGCATTCAGAGATGAGCCACACCAACGAAGCTGGCATTGTCATCCGTGCAGGGGAGACAAACCCAACATCCTTTTTCTCGACTGGATGTGGTACAATCTCACTCTGGATACCCTCAACAGCATCAACTGTAACAGTGGCATCACGCATCTCTACGACTGCTTCAGAGGGACCACTGCCGCTAGCACCAGCTGTCTCGTTGGGCTCTCTCAATACACATCCAATTCTGACAGGCCTGCTGAAAGACTCTCCATTACCCAGAGCCTCCTTCACGAATCCAAAGCTACCACAAGGTTTAGACAAATATGTCTCCTCAAAGGATGCATTAGAAGCTGCAGCTGCTCCTGCAACAAATAGAGAGTGGATGGAAGCCATTTGACTCTCCAAGAAATAACCGGAACTCCACACCTCATTGTCTTCTTCTACGTGAATTCCTGTCATGCGCCGCTGCGGGTACATGCCTTGAACGAAGGCAAGCAAGTGAAGCCACGCTCTCAAGAGTTCAGGTTTCCTTTCCGCAACATACTTTGCCACCTCGAAATGATTCATCACATATCTTATGTCCTCAAGAATTCGATGGTACAGGCGTTTGACCAATAGACCCTTACTTCCCTAAAATAAGATCAAATATAGCACGAAACGATTTCAGGAATGACCATCCCTATTTGTCTACTCAAGTATCTCAGAACCCTTTGTAACTACACTTCTCCATATTTGGACTAACGTTGCGCAACCACTCCGATCCTAAAATGTCTTCCAAGAAGCATGATTTGAGAGATTAAAAGGACCATGTCATATGATTATTAAAAGTAATCAGTTTACATTTCCATGGGTGGCACGAAGGATCACGTAGAAAAAAAATATTCCAACTGGAGAAACTTCTTAGTGGATTAACAATCAATATTGTGACATCTCTCAGCAGATAGAGCTCCAAATGAATCTTCATTTCGTAAACTGAAGAAGGAAAAAGCTTACCAAAAGTCGACCATCCTCTCCGGCACAAGCAAGGAAGAACTCTTTCAATGTGCCAAGCAGCATCTCTAGAAGTCTCGACTCAATGACCAGTTTCGGTGTAAGTGTTGGAACTGTAAAAATCTGTACAGAAAAGCTGTTAAGAATGGCCTGTTCGCTATACTTGCTTGTTGACGTGATTCCAATTGCTGCACTTTCTGCTGCAGCAGAATCCTTAAAAAATTTAGGATAGTGAGAAATGAAAACTTTCGCAAATGACAGTTTAAAATTGCTGTCTCCAAGAAGCTTGTATAATAACTCGTGCAAAGATGCACTAACAGGCTTCGGTAAGAAATGTTCTGTGTTCATCAAAGTGTCTAGTATCCCTGATGCATTTTTACCCATGAGGTCTGCTATGAATGCCAGCATAGTTTCACCGTAACTACATAACTCCATTAATAGCTCAACACACACCACCGAAAGTTGCGATGCCACTTTTTCTTCCACTTTCAGATTTTTCCATATTTTTGACTTTCCTTCCGTCACTGCATCAGCTGCCTTCAACCATCGAACCCAGTGAATCAAGAGAGCTTCAAGCACTGGAGTAGCCGCTTCTTCGATGGACGACGGCAAGGAAACCGCTTGACCAAAACCGCTATGTCTCGAGCAAAATCCAGCCTGCTTCCAAGCCGTAATATCCCCACAATCACAACACCCCCCTCCAGTGCGCATTATATAGTAGTCGTGCGTGGAATGATTTCCAAGTTGAAAGCAGGACACACATATCGCACAAGTAGGATCATGTTCACAAGTACGGCATCTATAGGCAATGTCGTTCACACCCCAGACAGCTCCACATACGCCTCTTGCACCTCCACCACCTTGACCAGCCACTTCTAAGATAGCCTGTGGTTCACCCTGAAACATAACCCATTTCACCCATTCAATTGCATCCCTGCACTGACTCAAGAACCCTTTGCGTGTGCCGGGTCCTTGAGCCTCATCAGCATCTGTCGTAGAAACAGCCTCCAGTTCTTCCATGCCAGGAAGCAGGCCACTTATCACTCGCGGCAGCTGAAACCTGTGATTTTTCGCATAGTCCGCAAGCCCTGCTTGACCTCTTTCTGCATATTCCGCCGGTACTCCACAATTGATTAATCTCTGAGTACACACACAAACCATCGTTTCAGTTTGCAACTTTCTAGTGGCAAAAATGCCGGATATGCTAACCAGCATCTTGCAGCAATTTATCCACGGTCATTGGACAATTAGAAACTCACCAGTCGGTGAATGATAGATCGAGTCCAATATCAGCACACATCTCACTATCTTTAAGGTTGTTCGCCATTTAAATGCCACAAGAGGATTTCTATTAATGACACTGCATGCATTCATCAGGGGGAAAAGCTGTTGGTACAGTAAAACGAAGCTTGTTTAAATAAATATCAATCTAACTCGAAACGTTTGCGATAAGGGACTTAGATTGCCCAATGGTGCTAAACGGCAGAAAGCAGAGGAAGCTTTCATTCACACTCAACTGATACTGAAATACAGTAACAACTCATTCCTCAGAGTGCATCTCGTTTTCAGTGTTCGAAACCTCCATCATACACCTGCTATAAATGGACAGCATACCGCCTATTTAAAGCATCTAATTCACTTTTCATCAACTTGATTGAGGATGCCAGCTTTCACTAGATTATAGCAGCGGACTATCGCCCGGATCTGTAGTAATACAAGTTGTATGTATCTCATAGCGATCGTAGTCTGTGATCTTAAACCTACTTTAACGATCATTCAATCGTAAATCCGTTAACCACGTGATATATTGCACTAACAGGACGTCTCGTCCCCAACAACAGGATGCAATTTTCGCACATAGGCGTCCATCTGCTGGTGAGTTGTCATTTCATATCTACTTAGCCCTATCTATATTATGTAATTCCAACTAGCTCGATTTCGAAAATGAGCTTAAGTGAACAAGATCTGAAGAACATTAATAAAGCAACCTAAACTCACTAACATATTGCGCTGCCATAATCATTACAGAGTTCAAAGGTCCTACTAATGTCCCGCATCTTGCTGTAACTTGCTGTGACTTCCTTAGCGATCAATAAGCTACTTCCAATCAGACCAATGGTGTCGAAAAAAAAGATCTAAACAGTGCAAAGAAAGCGCAATCTCCACATACCGTCTCTATCCCTCGCTGACGTTGTCAATCTGTTATTTCAGTTCCACAAACACGACAGTACCCTGCTCAACGCACAACAATTGCTTCTTGACTAAGAATCACATGTATAAATCCGATTGCTAATAGATTCAAGTATTCACGAGTCTTGCAATGAACTCACAGACACTGGACAACACACTCCACCAGTTAACGTCGAGTTTATAAAATTTAGCTACAAGCGAAGGGGTTCCGGTAGTAAACGGACGGTGCGATGATGTGTACAAGAAGGGTACCATCCTTCATCAAAACAATCAAGAATCCTTCCCAATCTCAAAATGCAAAACAGGGATCAAATCAATGTGAGAAGACACTCGTTTGCGGCATAAATAATAACATGATCGAAGAATAAAATCATTCCGCAAATGTTGTAGCTTTTTTTCTTTCTTTCTTTCTTCTTTGAGCACATTTAAGAAACTAACTTGGATGATTGATTCCGTGGAGGTTGAAGTGTTGGCCGAGGTCGGGATGCTACCGGTGGTAGAGGTGTGGCCAGCACTGGTCCCCGCAGACGAACTACCCCCTGCAACGTAACCTTCCATGACGACCGACCCTCCTACCACAAACTACTTCCTCTACCCCTCATACATTGAACACAATAACTATTCCGCCTTGCTACCTCCTCCTCCACCTCCTCGCCTTCAAATCCTCGCCTCGTCTCTCGCTACCACCAACTTCCAAAAATAATTAGTATTCAACCAACGCATATATATATATATATATATATGTGTGTGTGTGTGTGTGTGTGAGTGAGAGAGAGAGAGAGTACGTAGAGAGAAGGATCCTGTTGCTGCTAAGATTGATATTCCTCTACCCCGTTCTGTTCACCTCTCTTCCTCTCCCCTGGTTTTCCACGCCCTTCACCCCAGCACGAATCCCTGTCTCTCATCACTCCTCCCACGCATCCACAGGCAATCCAGATCGCCTCCTGAAGCTCTCCCTCCATTCACAGTTTCCGCAACAATGCTCCCAAAACCTTCCAAACCTCCAGACCTCCAATAAAAATACGGGATGCATAAGCTCAAGCTCAACGGCTACCGTGAGCCCGCGCAACGATCGAATTCCCGCCTTCCACCCAAGGCACACAATCGAAACAGCAAATCCGGCACTCTCGCAAGCACAGAAATGCTTGCTCGAGGCTCCAAGACAACGACGGCGACAACGACGCTGGGAAACGCCCGGTTCAGGGTCCCGGACACGGGACGCCAGTGTGAAAAGAGTTCGCTGTGTGAACGGACACTGGCAACGCAGAATCTCTCAACCTCTCTGTGGTGTCCAGGGCCGGGTCAAGCAGTCCCAGCCTCAACCCGGCCCGGCCCAGCACAGCCCGGAACCAACCGGAGCTTATTCTTCTTGTTCCCCTGAACAGCCTTCCTTTTCTTCGTGAGAAGTATTCTATCTTTCAATCTCTTCTATCTGTCAGCCAGTCAATGCGTCAGTCCACATGGGTAATGGTGGTGGTGGCCCCTTCTTTCAGCCACAATTTGCAGTGGCCATTTGAAACATGGGGAAAGCCCAGGTTGTGGCACCTGAAGTGGCCACAACTGACGTTACAGGGAGAGGGAGAGGGAGAGAGTGAGTGAGTGAGACCAGGACGCACAGTGTGAACTAACACTGAGCGTGCCCTTTGGGTGTCTAAATTTGAGATGGTGCCACTTTGAGATGGTATCAGTCATTTTCTAAATGAAGCTCCGCCAGCCCCCGTGTGTGGCCCAATTGCACTGGCTGGCCCTATTCTATCCTACACTGCTTTCCTCCTCTTCGGGTTCCACTTGGCTTCTCCTTTTTTTGGTTTCGCTAATAGTTTCTTTACTATTACTTTTTTATTTTTTTAGAATATTAATTTTGCTGGTGGCAAAAAACTATCATGGGTCTTCTCCTTTCTTTTACTTATTCCTTCCATCACTTTTTCAAATTTTCCCCCCTTTTTGCTGATTTCCCTGATCTCATTTTTTATTTTTTCTTTCTTTCATTTATTATTTCCTCTCCATTCAAAGAAGGAACTTGTGATGATCATTGCGTTGTTGACAGGTTTCATTTCAAAAGGATGCTTTCGGTGTAGTGACATTAAAAAAAAGATGTCGGCCAAAAGAGACAAAAAAACATATACACAAAAGATTCAGGAGGCATTTACACATAACTGGCGAGGAAATGGGGTGATAAACCTGGCTCTCTCTCTTTGTGCACAAATATCTCACTTCTTTACACTTTTCACGCTTGCTAAATAATTGCGAGTTTCCATCTGGACAGATATTCCTTTTGTGGGTTCTAAGAAATGACTGAGTTACACTGCCATCACCCCCTTCCACCATGTCCACAACCCTAACTGTATTTTTAGACATGTGCAAAATCATGAATGAAAATGCCATATCCATAATCACGACTTCACATTGGTTTGGTTACAAAGAAAAAAAAAAACAAAAACAAAACAAAACAAAACAAAAAACAAATATGTTGTTTAAGCACAATATATCTTGGGAATTGTTAAGTAGACCCAAATATTTATTAAATTGACCCACCTAGCATAACCATCATCAAAAAAATCTCCACTCACATATCTGTATTGGTCAAAAACCAATGATAAAATGGTTAGATCTTTAACCAATGATAATGGGTGGGTTGATTTAGTAAATGCTTGGGTCACTTTAACAATTTCCTATATCTTTCCTCATTAAGATTAGTAGTCACAATCACATGTCCATTTACATCAAAATTAAATCCTATTTATTTCTCACATTAATGTATATATATATATATATATATATATATATATTGATAAAATTATATTGTACCTATATCATTTTTTATTTAAATCTATTTGAAATCTCTTGTTGCATTACTAAGTTGGATACAAAACAAATTGTAAATAGTTTTAATACCTTCTTATAGGCATGCTTGTAGCTCTAACAAAGTATTGGTTAGAGAGAAAAATTATCTGTAAATTAATCATAAGAGAGGATAAATATCTGTAGTATATGAACATATTGTCATTTCAATAAAGAAAACATATAGTCACTTTAAATTTTTTTAGACATGTCCTCTTAAGTTTGTGGCTAAAGCATGATCAAGATAGTCCAAAAATAGTTCAATTAAATATTCATTGTTTTAATAAATTTACAAAAGCAATAAAGCAAGTCTTTTATGCTTTAGTTTTGATTTGAATCCAAGACAAGATGAGCACTATGAATGATTCTTATTAGGTATAGAAAAAGCCTCTTTGGTATATTTTCTTCCATTAAAATCCAAAAACAAATATTCACCAGTTGTGTACCTATTTGACATATTATCTATCTAAATTTGACCTCTTGGATAATAATCTACATGACAATATTCATCTATAGTCTTTAAAATTCTAATATTGAATATAATCAATCTTCTATTCTTATTCTCTGTGATGTTGTGAGACGTCTTCAATTCATGTTATTTACTACAAAAGATTGATATTGTTCTATGATTTGTTTCCAAAAATAAATCTACAATATGTGTTTTTGGATTCTGATAATCACGTCCAAACTATTTGCTTAACTTCTTTGTTGTTTCAAATTTTATCTTTAAAACTAAAAATATTATATTGAGTTCATGTAGTCTTTAGATAAACATGGCCTTTAGGACAAGATGGTATCAAAAACATATGTTTTTTTTATAACTTTGGTTATATCTACTTATATTGACCACATTTCTAAAAACTGAATTGAATAATTTCTGGAACATGAGAAAAAACATAATCGACACTAGATTTCTTCTTCTTCATCTTTTTCTTTTTGAGATTGTGTTTTTTCTTTTCTTTTTATAGAATTAATTATCAGTCTTTTGTGCCATGCTAATTAAATCAGCATGATGTCTTTCATTTGTCTAATTCACAACATTTGCCATCTCGATCAATCCAATTTTAATTATGTCTCAAAAAGACCTATTCCTTTACATGCTATTAAGTCTCACTTCCTTCATTTGGAATTAATTACTTGTCTTCCAAACTCACGCAACAGACTCGGTTGAGTATGTACATTTAATCTTTCAAATTGTACAAACACTGGATTCACAGCAGTTGCGATCAGTGCATATCTTATACGCAAACATAGACATATTTAATTACTTATCTAATTTGTTTGAATAATTTTTCTGGCATTCTTCAACCTCAAAAGTTGGGAAGTATGAATGAAAAGATAAATAAATTGAGGATCAGAAATGTGAAAATATATGCTTGATAAAGCTGCCAAAGGCTCTTTTCCATGTTAATATGCACCTCATCTTCCTTCTAGAAACTTTGAATGGAAGTTCAAAATAATAATACATGTCATTAAAAGATGAGCCTTCTCAAAAAGTAAGCATATGTTAACTTTATTTGTGGGGGGGGGGGGGGACTTCCAAGACCCAAAGTGAAGGCAAAGGTTACGCAACTCAATGCTTTTTGAAACCCAGCAGTGCTTTCTCCTCCCTCTTTTCCTCTTTTTCTTAATTTTCTTCTTCATTAAAAACATATATATATATATATATAATTAATTAATTAATTAAAAATTGGTTTTTCCTGAAAGACCCATGTCCATCAAACAAAATGGAAGCTTCTACGGTCGAAATGGGAAATAGTCTGCGGTTTGAGGACCTCGTGTCAGAACCCCATGTGGGTGCCTCCTCAGGTGTCAAGGCAAAACCCTATAAACTTCATTCATCCACAAGTTCGTTATGGATGAATGAAATATCCAACATGCATAGTCAGTGCATGAATAATAGCATCCATGCTTACACGTTGAGCATGTGTGGCTCAATTGTATGAAGCCAGTCAAACCTTCTGATTCATGAATAAAATAAAAACAATATTCATTAAAAAGATATTTTGCAATAGGGAGTGTAAACAAAGCCCTTTTAGAATCCCCAAATTAATTCTTTAAGAATTAATATGGATCAGTTCATTATGAAATAACATGCATCAAAGTATTCCTCCCCTATTATTATTATTATTATTAAAATTATTTTTGGGGATGTGCAGTGTTTATTAATTGACACCATGAAAAGACTTCGTTTGTTCTTTTGAGAGTTGCTTGTTCTTTAAGTATAACTTGTTATTATTTCTTTTGAGTTGAATTGGATTTTGAAACATCTTGCAAAAAGTATACATGCCTGAGATTCATTTATGTGAGTTCCTCTAAAAATATTATCTTTATACGTTTTTATTTTTTATCATACTTTAGAATTTGTTTTTAAGATTTTCTGTAATTATTGCTACAGATTTTAGTTACATATAATGAGAAAAATATTTCTTAATTTTTTTCTACATGAGATTTTTTTTATTGTAATTTTTTAATAGTACGAATGATAAGCTATAATAGCATTCACAACTTATTTTTGCTAATATATAATTGAAGAAATCTAATCTTACAATCTAATCTTAAAAGATTTAATAAAGTCAGTATGCAATTAGATTTTTTTTTTCATCCATGTAGAATAATATTGTTAATGTTATTATTTCTATGCTGTAAATTATCAAGCCATTGTGCAGAATTATTTAATTCCATCTAATTTTTATGTTACCACATACAACTATTAAATTATTTGCTATCTATGTTCCATTCCACCTACAAAAAAAGAGTTATGTGGGTATCTAGTTGTTTAATTCATCTTCTAAAATTTGACCCTCCATGTTATATGATTCTTCTCATGAAAGTCACACCAAATCAATTGCATAGTTTATATGTTGATTTATTGTTATTATCATTACTACTATTTTTTTGGTTGCATTTGCCATTCATTTCTAGCACATATCACTTGGAACACGTTGGGGTTAAACCGATCAGAAACTTGTGAGAATCAACTCGTTCAGTGCAAAGAACCCACAAACATCAGCATGAAGCTTTGTGAATCTATAACTCTGGGAACACGAAGGTCCAGTCATTGTGCTTTCGGAAGGCGAACCCAGCTCACGTACCGACAACAAGAAGACACTCTAACTGACGGACAATCTCAATACCCAATTGCGGGAATTTAGGTGCCGATTTTGTACGAGGAAATAAACTCTTTTTCTGCATATTGCGTAGAAGAGGAGGAGTAGAAATGTGATAATTGGTTGATGCACATGGCAAAACAAGATTATGGTGATTGTAAAAGTGCACAATTGTTACTTGGGTGCTCTTGCTTGTGAGATGTTTGTTGATATCTTACACTAGAATTTGAACGAGGCCACAATTACGAAGGCCATGCAGTGTTTTATTTTTATTTTTATTATTATTATTTTTTATGATGGTGCATAATTATGTAAAATCACTTTGATTTGATTTTGTGTTTTTATTTTTAGTTTTTTTTTGAAAAAAACTCAATCAAGACCACACATAGTAGCATGTGGACACAAACTATGTATATAGTTTTTCAAGTATGAGATAAGTTGTCATGTGGTTTAGCAAGGGCAATTTCAAAGTAAAGATGAGAAATAAAGCATAATATGACAAGGTATTGTGAATCAAAGTGGAAGGATGTAGTACATGTTTTTTAAATTGTTGGGTGGCAACAATAGTGTCACTATTTTTGATAAGTCAACTTTAGTAGTTGATTTCTTATAAGAAAAAAAAAAAACAAAAACAAAAAACAAAAAACAAAAAACACACACACACACACAAATGAAAATTTTCAAAATTAACAATTAATAACACCATAGATACTACCTTATTACACAAATGAAAATTTTCAAAATTAACAATTAATAACACCATAGATACTACCTTATTACAAATGTCATGTATTTAATATGACTATATAAATTTTAGCAAAAAGAAGATAATATATATATATATATATATATACTACTACTACTACTACTTATTTATAATATTATGAAGAATTTGTAGATATTTAAAACACATATGATAAAGAAAATATTACATTATGTTATGTTATAAACTAATTATGGTATAATAAAAAAATAATTTTATTTTACAATAGTAATATTTGTAGCTACATACTTATTGTAGTAACTTAGTTTCTTATTATATGTTGATGATAATTTATTCATAGATTATTTGAAGTATCTATGTTCATGTTTATAATTTGTGTTATATATATATATATATATATATATTCAAATAAAATATATTACTTTCATCATGTAATATGCTTATATAATCTTGTAAACATAATAGTTTAAAATTGATGATTAGATGGTGCAGAACAAATATATAATAGATAGATGTAATTTAGATAAGAAGTATTAGACAACATCATATTCTTAAGGTCATGTATTAGCATTTGACTTGATTTATTTTTTATTCTTACTTTTAAAGTTAAAACTATGTTCAAGTCTTTAAAATTGTATAATTTTTACTTTTTTTTATTAGATTTTGAAGACTTTGTTTATTTTTTTGTTTAAATAAGCATCATAAAATATTTTTGACACATAGAATTAAATCTTAGTATATGTGTGTTATTAATATTCAATCTTTAATCTTTTGGAAATGTTACTTATAAAATCCTTCGGAGGATGTTGTTACATAGTCATAAAAACATAGAAATGTTTAATATTACTAGGTACTTAACTTATGTTATTATTTGAACTCATTTTGGTTTAAAAAGTACATTATTAAAAAAAATTACTTGTTTATATATATATACATATATTGTAATCTAAAAATATTACAACAAAATCTATATTATAAGTTTTAATTTTTGATTTTTGATTTTTTTAACATTAGTTCAAGTTATCAAAAAAAATCTTTGTATCAAATCACTTATATTATTTAAATGAATAGAAGTACATACAAATACATTAGGTAGATAACATCAAAGAATATTTTTAAAATTTAAATTATTAATATTTTTTAGTCAAATAATTATTGCTTCCAATTATTGAGTTTATGTTAATTAGATTTAATGATGTATTTAAAAGATGTTTTTCAATGATTTTTTGATTTTTTTTAATAGGTAATAATTTTTTTTAGAAATGCTTCATATAAAATATAGTAAAACTTAAAGCCATGAGTAATATGTTTTATAAAATAAACCTTGAAACAATATCAAAAATTAAAAATTTATGCTTTATTTTGCACATTAATAAAAAGAAATCATGAAACAAAGAAAATAATTAAAAGTAGATTAACTTGTTAGGATTCAAAACGGGGGAATTCATCGAACATCTACTCGACGATAAGCTCTTCAGACTACGATTCTGTAGAAAGAACCGAATTGAAATTGACATTGGGTTTTTCTTTTACGCTTTCCCGTATATTCAATCATTTTCGTTTTCTTAGTTTTGTGTGCATCCTCCTGTGCTTTTCCTCTGGTAAAGTGTACTGCTCATATTTGAAGATATACTTGTTTGACACGATGTTATTCTGTCTTCTGCGTACTTTCGTCAAAATTGTGAGGCTTGCTCAGCTTTACGATACCTGTGCATGCTCCTTCTGCCAAAATTCGTGCGGCGTACTTCAGCACAGTAGTATTTTGTGTACGTTCTGGAGTGGCTACCGAGATATGGCGAGAACCCTAGTACAGTCGCTGGATTCTTAACAAAACGACACCAGCGCAGGATCAGCATCGACGAAGTACTGGGCACCACTTGCACATCAAATACTATACATTGACTTTCGCTTCTACAAGCTTGACTTACACTATATTCTGAGGAAAAATTACGTTGCGAATACGAAAACATGCATTGGTCTAATCAAATGCTACGTGAGAAGAGATCTGTGCCAGAATCTAATTAATGTGCACCTGTTGATCTTTTTATGATGTTTTTTCGATAGTCGGTTTGATTTTCTTTTGCAGCTTAGTCATAATACAATGCGTGTGCTGGGACTAAGACAACTGTGGCATCCTGAAGGACCTGCTTCGGAACAAGGAATTTTTCACCCTAGTTTCCAGCTTTGCGCTGTCGCTGATGCTGAAAGGACAGTCGTAGAACTCTGTTCGTTGATCATATATGATGGAATACCGATCACTTCCCGAAACATCTCGAAACTATTGCAATCCTGGTTCGTGCAACAAAACCACTATTTACTAGCAACACACTGTGCAACATGGGTCCCCACATTCGGCATAAAGTTTCCAACTCGCTACAATTTCATTGCACACCTTCGATCGCTTCGTGTAGGTTCCTAACAAAGTCTTGTAAAACTCGCCTCGTTCTGAAATCCATATGAATTAACGGAGCAGCGAAGGTCGGCAATCTCCGGAGCTTCGAAATAAACGCATTTCATGTCTCACATTTACTGACGCGGGAAAATTGAGATTCACCCCGCTGAAAATCTACAACCTTCGGCGCGTAACTCTGAACTTTAAAGTAAACGTCATCATGTAGTCCAGTTTTTTTGTCCTTTTCCGAAGTTTACAGATGAAAAGTAATAATACTTTCATCCTTTATTTCATCCATCTATTATGCTCTCGGTCAGCGGTGGCCGTTGGGCGCTAGTAGATTCAAAATTCTGGAGAGAGTGTGTTCGGTGTTCTCTCTCTCTCTCTGGGAGGTCTCGCCTTGGCTATGGTAGTGCATTCAATTTTGGGTACGTTATTGCAGGGCAAGCGAAGCGAAGGAATTAATAGGAGAAGTGGTGGTTGTGTGGGGTTGACAGTGTGGGGTGTAGTTGTGATTTGGAGTGAGTAGGATGCTCGGTTGCTTATTTGTTGAAGTTGGAGGTGTTTGGTTGTGTGTGACGGGGATGGAATTAATTGCTGGTTCGAGTTTGCAGCATTCGTGTCCTGGGGGTGTAGATTAGGGTTTTGTGTTCGTGATGTAGATGGAGGTTGACGATTGGAGAGGGAGACGTAGTTGAGTAGAGGCAGGAGGATGGGGTTGAAGGAGCCCAAGGGTTCACAGGTGAAAGAGGGGAAAGTTACTCGCGCGAAGGAGGGGAAGGTGTCTCAGGCGAAGAAGGTGGCTGGTGATTCGATTGATAGGAGCGGAAACAGTGAAGCGCTTCTGGAATTGTTGCAGGGGGAGAATGTGACGGGATTGTGCAAGCAATTGAAGGTGTTTGTGGCGCCTCTCATTGCTGTGAGCGGTGGAGGGAAGGAGAACACGTCACGGACAGAGTTACATAAGCTTGCGAAGCAGTTTGTGCCATTTCTAGTGCGGCTTCTGAAGCTCTGCTTCGTGAATGTGGGCAAAGTTCCAGATGAGGAGCAGGCCCAATCACAGAGTGGAGGCGATGAGGTGTTTTTGGCCATTGAGATTGCTCTGGATGGTCTAGATGTGCTGCGGTCATTTATCACAGGGTCCCCTTTTGAAATTGAGATCCAGAGGTGTTCGTTCGTGCGGCGCTTGCTGGCCTGGCGACGTCATTCAGCTGCTTTAATACAATGCAGGAAAAACCTCAGCAGCATTTGCCTCAATTTCAGTGCTTCCGCCGAGAAATGTTCTCGCAAACAGGTGAAAATACATATCAACTTGCTGCAAGTTTCAAGGAATTTTTGCAGCTCCTCATTCGCAGGAGAAGTGGAATTTGATTCAATTACAGGAGATTCACTCCCTGATCCGTAGTGTTTAATGTAGGATGGAGTCTTATCCACTAATGGGAATTTCGTTCGAGACTTGTCAGTTGTAAACGTAGATCGCATTCTTTAACATAACAGTCTCTAAACTGATTCACCTGTGGTTGCAATCTTTTGCTGTCAATAGCTGCATTTCTTCTTCGTACTACTGAAAATTCCCACTGACTAACCTTGAATAGTAGCACGTATTTGTTAACACTCCTACAGAATCAAATTGCATTATCCTAGAGTGTGATGAGCTACCTATGCCCTGTTACGGATGACATGATGAGAAGAATGATACAGTTCAATAGTCTTGTTCAATATTTAGATCGCGAGTAGTTTCTTTCCTTTGAGTCGCGTGCTTCATATTTCTTCAACCTCAAGCTTGTGGTTGTGTCGAAATACTACTCTTGGCAGACTCTATTAGCCCCTCGATCTTGCTCTGTACATTGAATTACCTATTTGAAATGCAGGTGCAAGCTCCTGGTGCTGCTAAGGTACAGAAGTGCGCTGCTATAACAGTGACCGAGAAGAAGAAGAAGAAGCAGGCCGGGCCAAATTATGTACTTCCTCACCCTCAGGACGTGGAGCTGACATTGGGACTCCCGACCTTGGTTTCTGGAATTGTTACTGATCTGATATGGTGTACAGGTGAAAGTGCTCCTACGTCCGTCGAGAGCTATCACGAATTACTTGCTCTTCCTGGGCAGCTGGAGCCTTGGCTGGCAGTCTTGGACGCAAGCGCTGCTGTGAAGCAAAAAGATACTTTATATAAAGGTCTATACAAGTGTGTTTCAATTCTGGTCACCAACCCCAATCGTTATGGTGTCCAGCTTGTGCGAGAGTTTTCTATGCTGACGCTTCAAATTTGTGCTGCTTCGTCTTTATGGAAGCAGTATGTGAAGGTACAGAAACACTTCCTTGACTTTCTGCATTCCGCAAGCATTCATTACATTTTCTCCTGTACGTGTATTATTACGTTATCAGGGCTGATCATTCTGCTTGTATTTCAATATCGTATTTCATTTATAATAAGGAAATTATCGTATAAGACAGTACAATGTGGAGCGAAAACGTTTGTTTCATCCCAACCGCACGCTCTGGCGCTTTCGCGATTCCTAATCATCTTTTCTACGGTCTAATACGCCCATATTAACAACTATGTCAGGAACGTTATTGACAAACTTTTCGGAATACAGGTTGCTTGCAAGCTTTCTCACTGCCTGAGTCACAATAGTGCGAGCGACATTCGCCTTGGCTTGGACGTGAGTCAGGCTGCTATGAAGGGCAGTCTTGAGAACATCGAACTCCAAGGTTTATGGGCCAATACTGATATGTTGGAACTCGTATCTTACTATGCACACCTTTGTCAAACAAACAAATGTTCTGCCGAAGGCTCTTCCTTTCTAGGCGAACTTGTGCAACAACTATTCAAGTTATCTCCTCCAGTAGCCACTGTCGTAGGGTTCTACGTAATTGGATTGAAATTTTGTTGCGATGTAGTAGATTTCGATGCAACGTGTCACAACTTGCTCTGTGATGGAGCAGCACTTCTGGAGAGTTGCCTTCAGCAGGAGTCAGAAAACGACAGACGAAATCATGCCTTCGGGTCACTAAAAGCTCTTGAGATGGTTAAGAAGAATTCATCAAAGTACATACAGGGTGCATGGACATCTTTTATCAGTGAGTGCAAGACTGAAACAATTGTAGTATCTGAGACAGGCAGCATTCATTCTATCTTGCGAAGGGTCCTTCACCTTTGGTTTTTGTTGTTGAGTAGAGCCTCGGTCTACTGGAAGCTGACGCGTGAAGAAGACCTCATCTTAAAACAGGGTTGGAGTCTAGCTTCAGCTCCTCTAGTATCACTTCTTAGGTTATCCTTAATGTCGCTGCAGGGGGTTCAAGACTCTGTGAATTGCATCGATGATCTGCTGAAAAGAGGTAACCTTCAGATAGACGAATTACGATGGATAATTGCTTCTGCATACAACATGGGAATACAGATTTACAACAAGAAGGATTATGAGTTTGCTTGTTTTCCGTTCAGAGTAGCTTATGATGCTGCGTGGGTCAGAGTTGAAGTGAGCAGACACCTGTCTTTGGCACAGCCGACTGATATTCAAGTCTACGACTTTATATTGGACAGCTGTATCAAGTGTATTACATTAGCGGATTCTCTCAAGCGCAGTGGGAAAAGTCAGGCAGGTTTTGAAACATTGAGTGATGGATTATTGCGCTGGGCAACCATTCATTCAACACTGCAACCTCAACCCTCAAATATCCCGAGTTCGCTTGCTTACACATGGGTCAAAACGCTACACACTGAGGATTCTGCAATCCTAAAGTCTGGCACTCATGTGTATGAATGCCTGTACAGCTTCTTGGAAACTAGATGTCTAGCCTTGCACCACCGCACCTTAGGTCTCCTACTTGAAGAGGAGCTTTCAGTGCTCCACGATTTGGAAATCCAGGGATTCGATAACATCCAATTCATAATGGAACAGAATTTACAGAGTCTGCTTGACAATGTTTACATTGTGGACGATTTTCCTGTTGAACGATGCAGGATTCTCTTGGAGAAAGGAAGACTAGCTCGGTTGAAGGGAAACCATGACTTCGAATCCTTTTCAGAGGTTATTGCTGTCTTGAACAAGACCCTAAAGGATGTGACGAAGAAAGGTATAGATTCGACACAAATTGCAAACGTTGAAAATCAGCTGGCAATGGCTTACTGTGCGCATGCCTTCTGTTCGTATGAATCCGAACCTTCTGGACAGGATTATCTTGAGAGCATATTTTCAGCTCTCTCAGTCTGGGAAGATTCTGCAAGAGGAGGACGCACCTGGATTGGATTGGATGCACATGGAGAAGCTCGGATTTTGGGTCAGACTGCTTCTTGTGGGGTTTCACTGCTGCGTTTACTTCTGAGCGTGAATGATTTAATGGCATTGAAAGGCTACTCTCTCATCCAAAATAGGATCCAGCAGCTGGTAGTATCTTTACTCTCTCCCGTGCGAATGGATTCTGACTCCAAGCTTTTCTCATCCCTGTGGGCAAACGCACGTCTTAGTCATGTGTTATGTCCAGTGCCATATCCTTCAGGTTTCTTCACCTTGTTAACGTCAAAGCTGGGAGCGGATTGTAACGCCCTGCAATTCTGGGAAGATTGTGCTCTTCTATGTCCAGGTAGTTCACTAGATGCTCAACTGCGACTCATGCATCAGAGGCCTCACTACGGACGCCGTAATACGAATATTGATAAAGCAGCAGGTTGTTGCCAGGCTTTTGAGGTTGTGGAACAAATTGCCATATCTAAACTTGGGACTGGACCAAAATCTTCTGGAGAGGTTTCCAAGCTAGCAATCCTCTTCTACATGCTAGCCGAGCACGCTCTTGACGAAGGGAAGCTGAGGGTAGCATGTAAGTATGCGAAGGAGTCGTTGAACTTGCGACTCAGACTTGTTAGTCGTATGTTTCAGACTAAGTACACGGGAACTGTGTCCACTGATTCGGACAGTGACAATGTTGAAATTGAAGCTGCTGGTCAGGGCAAGAGCAAAACAGGCAGGCTTCATGTTTTGGACTCAGTTGCCACCCGTGCGTGGCCTAAGCTGTCATCCCACGCAAAACCAGTGGACTTCGAGCCAAATCCTTGGCGAGTCTTGGGTGATTATGTCGAAAGCCTTATGCAAAACGGTGTAATCAGTGAAAAAGTAGGGGCTGTAGATGATGCTCTGGCCAGGTTCTCTGAGGGATACTCCGTCTCCTTAACGCAGAACTTGCCGTTGGCGCGAGCTGCCTTCAAATCTTGCTTGGGTAGGATGCCAGTTCATTTTCTAGTACAAATGTTGAGGTTTCAAGCCTTTGTTTCATTTTACCTTTCATGATTCTGCTTTTTTATTGCTATTATGTTTTTCATTATTCTTGTAGATCTTCACGTCAATGTCAACTACTTTTGTAGATTGCCTGAAATACTCATTACAGAATTTTCTTGTAGATCGCTCATCCAGACCTTTGCAACTTACTGTCAACTTGACCTGAGATGGTAGCTGCTTGTCAGCACTTTGGGATTGGTTAAAATGTTTCTTTGAAACGCTGTTTTGCTGCGAATTTCAAGGCTGATTACTTGTGGAAATGAAATCTGCAGGCGAGGTACAGCGCAAACGTCACAACTGGGAAGTAGCTGAAAGTGAGCTGCTTCTTGCTAAGGAAGCATATGAAAACTTGGAGACTTTGTGGATATGCAACTGTTGTCACCGCGCTGGGAGCGCTGCTGTTCTTTACAGGCTTGGTGACTTGGCGCGACGCTGCAGACAAAGTGGGGATCCTGTATCAGGCGGCCTTATACATCATGAAGATGCAATGTCCTCTTACATTTCTTCTCGAGAGTCGCTGACTGCCGTTCTGAGCAAAGTAAACGAAGGCTGTGATTGTAGTAGCTGTAAATATTCTGCATCAACTGCGCTTCATGGGACTTCACAGATTATCTTAACGGAGGACTGTCTCAACACTGGTGTAGCTAGGCGACTTGAGGAGACTCTACAATGTGAGAATGAAAACAATAAGGAGCATTCATCAATAACGCCTTCTGTAGTGGGCGGTAAATCAGTGATGATGCTGGAGAATCACAAGCTCAGCACAGACCCCAGTCCTGCTTCCAAGCAAGTGGAGGTGGATTTGTCAGCTTCTCTCTCAAACTTGAAGCTGACTCACAAGGAGAGCAATGCATGTGATGTGAAAGCCCCAGCACGGCGGAACAGTAGGCGCAAGCCTAGTGATGACGCTGTTCCGCTAGAGCAAAAGAAATTGATCGAGAAACGGTCAACTAGGAGTGGCAAGTTTAAAGTTACTGACAAAATAGAACTTGTTGCTTCAACAGAAGTTGCACCAGTGGTGAATGCAGTCAATACAGCAAAAGTTGTCAGAAAGAGATTGGTGAAAAAGTCTACAATTGAGGATCAAAAGGCCATCCTCAACGATATTTTTACAATTGTTGAGCCTGAAGGACATGATCATCACGCCAACTTCACTTCAAACAGGGAGGAACTTACATCATGTGTTGTCAGACAAGCTTCGTCTGAGTCGATGGACAATTGGATAACATACAAGTGGGTAAACATTTTCCACCAACTGTTGGCTCGAGTTACTGTGCAGATGGGGAAGTGCTATATGGAAATGGGATATCCTGATAAAGCAGTGGTGGTATTTCAGCATGCTTCTTGTTTACTCAATATTCAATTAGACCTGGTAAATCCCTGTGCGGATTATACATCCTATTCTTTCATGAACCGAAGCAAAAGTCTCTTTCCCATCGAGGAGGCTGCGTTCTTCTATCATAAAAGTCTTTTCCAACTTCAAATGATTCAGTCGAGTGGAAGCGCGGGAGGCGTGGAATGCGTCTTGCCTATGAACTGGCTTGCTCATGCCTACAGCCTCTCCACTCAAGCACCGCCCCTCCTCCGCAAAATTTCAAGACTTCTGTCAATTTTGCATGTCCCAATCACATGTGGAGGTCTTGGTCTGGTTCACAACCTAGACTGTTCTATGAGAGAACGAGCCGCATTCTTCCACCAAGTTTCAATCGGTGCTGGATGCAGACAGCAGCATCTGTCTGTGTTGGATTCAAAATTGCTGAGCCTCGCTTCCGAAACACAGCAGGAGCCTACACACATTTCTTCCAGGAAATGCTTTGAAGAAATGCAGAATGCCCTTGCTGTTGCTCCTTTAGACCTTCTGACACAGGATTTATCTGTAAGCAAATTAGTGAAGGGGCTTCCTATCAGTACTCTTTGCTGTATCAGTCTTGTGGATAGGGAACAAGCTGCTCTTTTGAAACGGAGAGAGTCTCTGAGCGGATCTAAGCCAGCTAAAGCCTCGGTGTGGGTCCTTAGCACCCGGTACTGTGACACTAGTGGACCAATATCAGTCATACTGCCAGCTAATCCTCTTGTCGACGGTGAAGAGCACCTTTCAGAGCGACCTGGGAGTAGTGCAAGCTGTCCTTACGACCTTGATGAACCAGAGCCCTTGAAACTTCCTTCTACTGCAATCAACACCGGAGTGATTGTCAATAGCCGAAGACACAGATACCAGTCATCTCTGCAAGAAATTGCAAGCGCATTTACATCAATTTTGGATGAAAGTAGGTTATCAACCTCGGGAAATGTTGATATTGAGACTGTAGAGGAAAAACGTCAATGGTGGCGATGGCGGTTGGCATTGGATACTCGCCTTTTGCAGCTTCTCGAATCAATGGAGAATTCATGGCTTGGCCAATGGAAATGCTTACTTGTTGCTGAACCCGCTTCCTCTTCCAACCAAGAAAATTTGCAAATTCGCGCGGAGGAACTTGTCTCTTGGCTAAAATCTTCATATGGAGTCCTTCAGAAGAGCGGAGCTCACTGGAATACCTATGGTGCTCTAGTGCGTATGTTGCTACAAGGCCTGGGAAGCCTCACCTCTGATCAAGTCAAGGAAGGTATTTCAATGCTTCAGAAATGCATGGAAGCCTTTCTTGATCAATTGCAAGATTCAAAGACTATGGCACAGAACGGCCGGAGGAGTAAAAGAAGTATTACTTGTGGTCAAGATCTTAGCTCTGAGGCGATGGATCGGTTCTGTAAGGCGTATATAAATCTCGTTCAATCGCAGGAGTCCGAGAATCCTCAACATGGAGAAGATACGTGTGCTGGTATTTCGGGAAGTAAGCGGACTAGAAAGGCAAAGAAAAATATATCTGCGACATTTATGGTAGGATGTGGTGGTCCAAGCGAAGCCCGGCTGGATGTACGAGACCTCGTTGGAACTGCACGGAAATCGATAACTCTTGTCTTGGACTCGGAATTGCAAGGCCTGCCATGGGAGAGTTTACCGGTGGTGCGGGGATTCGAGACTTATCGCATGCCATCAGTAGCTAGCATTCGAGCTCTGTTCATTCATCAGCAACTAATCTCTGCAACTGTTTCTTGTAATTCGTCGACGCTTGACCAGACTAACGAGCAAGCAGGTTTGTGGGTGGACCGTAGTGTGCGCAAGAGCACTCTAGAGATACCATTGAGTATAGTTCCGATTTCAGAACCTCGTGTAAATCCTTACAATACTTACTATGTGTTAAATCCAAGCGGAGACCTTGCGAAAACACAGGAGGCATTTGAGGTTTGGTTCAAAGAGAACATCGGATGGGAGGGTAAAGTTGGTCAAGTGCCAACAATTGATGAGTATGTGGCAGGTCTACAGAAGCATGATCTCTACACCTATCTTGGTCACGGCAGTGGTAATAAGACTAATCCCATTGAAATGCTTTAAAGTATTCTTAGATCATGAGCAAACATGCTTGATGATATGTTACATTTCATGTTCTGCCTAGGTCCTGACGTGTGTCACCTTGTTATGCAGGGGAGCAGTATCTGCCAGAAAGATTTGTTCGCAGATTAGATCGTTGTGCAGCTTCTCTGCTCATGGGTTGCAGTAGTGGCCGCTTTTCTCCAAGAGGAGATTATGAACCTGTTGGTGTACCACTTTCCTTTCTCATGGCCGGATGCCCGGCTGCCATCGCAAACTTGTGGGATGTCACAGATGGTGACATTGATCGCTTTAGCCGATTTCTGCTACATAAATGGCTTGGAACACCCAATGATGTTGATTCTGTGACATTAGAAAGGAAAGTCCAAGATGAAGCGAAACAAACCATGGATGTAGCAGGTCAGCATGGTTCCAGAAAATATAGTGAGATTATAGAAACTGTGACCCAACGCGATCAACAAACAATTCTAGCCAAATCGAATTGTGGAGAGAGGTGGTCGAGGATGGGGTCCTTCATTGGGGAGGGCAGGAATATCTGTCGATTGCCCTACCTAATTGGTGCCTCTCCTGTTTACTATGGAATACCCACCAGTATCATCAGGAAGGAAGCCCATTAGCTGCGTCTTTTGGTTTGTACGGAATGTACATTTGGGTCATGCTACACTGGAAATAAGCAAACTCGTACGGATAAAACTCAAGAAGTCTGGTATTAATCGCCTACCTATTTCTTGTTCTTGCACCTATGTTGAGTTTAGCATATTTTGTGTATTTTAGAATTTTGGTGGCATTAAAGACATGCTTCTGCGACAGTGTCTGTGGTCTCAGCTCGACTTTGTGATACCGTTGCAGGTGACAAAAAAATTGTTCACTGTTTATTGGTGGCCATCTACATGTTGGTTTCTCAAGCTTGTATCGGCCAGTTATTCCGTAGGCAAGGATCCGAGGTCTTGGAAGTTTACAATGAGCAGGATTGGCCATCTACGTGGAATTTTATTATTTCTCAGGTAGCCCTGGGGAACAAGAATTCGTGATGCCACAAAAATGCAGTTTGATCTGTACAGCAGGTCTTTAGTGTAGTTTAATGTGGATCCTTTCTATTTTTGAGCGTTGCTGGAATTGATTCGACAAGTAGGATAAGTAAATGCAAGGACCACTAAAATGGCTGTCCTAGCTGAGAGTGCTGCACAAGATCAATTGCTTAAGTAAGCAATATCCATTTTTCAATCTGTGCTGCAATACTGCAGCTGATTCATTCGACCTTATGTTTTGGCTTTTACGCCGCATCTGGTTGTAACCTTTCCAGAGCATTTGGCTGTAACACATAGTCTGGCTTAATATTGTACTTTAAGGTCATGTGTACCACTGCCATTTCCCTGCTAAATCGTTGGATGTTGCTCGTGACCAAAATACACCCAAAGTATGTCTGTTGGACTGAGCCGCAAGTATTTGAGACTATTTTGTGTCTAAGCAATATAATCACTATTATGATAACAAATATTATTTATTGGGTATATCAATTAAATTTTGTTTGTCGACCATATCTTTTCTTTTTGCCAGTTTTATTCAGCCGATCCGAACTCATTCAGTGCGGGCTTTGCAGGTGAACGAATTAACATTTCTTTGTTAGCGACGATTGTACCTTATCCATGTTCTGAATTACTCGATCGATCCAAAGTTGGCATGTGCAACTATGTCATGTTTCTTATGGTTTGTTAGATATCGATTTTTTTCTGCTGGAAATATTCTGGAAGGCAATAATGAGTGAAACTTTTCAAATGCGATCTGTATTCTTTTGCGTGCAGGGGTAGAACTATATCGTTACAATGTGAATGAAACCGTCCTGGTCGCCTAGACGATGAAACTCCTGGCTTGTATTTGAAGTCATGTGAATTTTACTTACACAATAATAGGCACCCCTAAAACATTTAGCTTTTTTGCCTTAAACCTGCCCACTTACAAGATGCTCTCCATTTTACAGGGCTGCAGTCTTCTAGGAATAGGGATATCAGGATTACCATGAGCGCATCAGCATGCAGTTTTATGGAGTTGTGTAAATTCTGGGCTTGACGCTGCATCTACCACATGGAATGAGGACTGTAATATCAGCCTACATACCATGTTCTCAACATGAGCAATCTTCACCAAGAAATGTACCAAGAAAAAGCAAGGGATGCACTTAAAGCAAATTTAACCAGGTGGGCAATTTGTTCCATACCTTACAAACACCTTAAGCAGCTATTATTGCTTGTGTTACTATTAAGTACTCTCCCACTCCTTGTTGGCATGCTGGGTGATTGAAACAAAATTGACTCATCCATAGTGGAGAATCACAAAAGGAAAACTTGTACCTTAAAGTTTGTAAGGTAGCATTACGATCATCCCATGGAATGAACATTGTGAACATTGATTAGATTAAAATCTAGACAGTACAAATTACAGTCCATTTCACTAGACTGAATTTGCAGGTAGGCAGTGGGATGTAGACATTGGTCAACTATTCTCAACAAACATTTGATCTTTGATAGGCACTCTACTTAAATGAGATATGTACATCTTTACACAGATCACACTATCAATATTAGTTTCTGTGTGTTGCACCACCTTCATTCTTTCTCAAAGATTCTCCTTGCTATTGCTCTCTGATTGTATGGATTTAGTAGTGGTTTGTTTTCAAGTTTACAAAGTGATGTTTTGAAAAGTAATTAGATGATGTATTTGTTATCAAACAGGATTTTTTCACAAAAAAGTTATATCATTTTGAATGTTGGTAATAATTAATGAGGCACTTGAAAAGCAATTAAAATTAAGACTAGTAAAATACAATTTTCTCTTAACAAACAAATATACTTAAAACCTTATTAGATACTAAGTAAATAATAATGATAAATTAAATATTAAATCTGAATAGTATGTAAAAGATTTACAGGCTATTTTAAATTCCCGATTAGTAGTTGTTTGTTTTAAAAAATTATGTAAAACTCATCCAAACTTCTTAAGGAGAAAAATAAAAATAAAAACAAAAAACATCAAATAAACAAATAAAAACAAAATCAATGATACAAAATAATTATGTAAATGCGAATTAAAATAATAATAATTTTAATACTAATAGTAAGTTTAATTTAATTATCTTGAATTAAATTAAACTTTATGAAGTTATTAAAAATTATTTTAAAGCAATTCATTAAATAATAAAATATTATAAATCAAAATCAGAAAATTAAAATATATTTAAACACAATTTCATCACACAATAATTTAAAATATAGTAGATTGTATTTAAATAATATCACACAATAATTTAATTTTAAAATAACACGTATTTATGAAAAAAATATTCCAATAAATGCCAAATAATAAACTTTGACAATAAACAATAACTGAAAGTCTAAAAGGAATAAAGGCTACTTAAGTAGATTTGACTATCAAAATATAGATGATATATTATTTGTTTTATTCTAATGATATAAATAATATATTGATGTTTAAGTTAATAATTTGACTAGACTTTTAACCAAAAAATCCTTAAAAATTTGGATATGAAATTGCTACAAGAAATTTAAAAACCAATTCATTTTGTAAAACAAAATTTAAAAATTGAGTGTATTATTTGATTAATATTTTTATTTTTATACCAAAAAATGTTTTTGTATAAAAGCTTTATCTTTAAAAATAATTTTATATAAATAATATCTATTTACAACAGATTATGTCTATTGCAAGTAAAAAAATAAAGTTCAAATATAAATAAAAAGAATACCAAACATCAGTTAGTATTTTCACAATTTTATTAAACATTTTAATATCAAGTATTCTAATTTTTATAATCTTGCTTGACATATTATTTGCCATCAATATCATTCTATTGTTAAATGAAATGTAAGTATAAAAAAAAAAAAATTAAATACATATATGATATGAAAAATCATAATCAAGGATCTATACATTTTAAAACCTGTTACTTCAAATGGTTACAATTAAGATAATTTTAGATAATTTTTAATAAAATTTACAAAATTTACTTGTTCAAATATTTAAATTTTTTCTATTATTGTTATTTTTAAAATTTTATGCAATAAAAAATAATAATAACATAAAATATCCAAATTTCTATGTATGTAGCTTTTAATCTTTAAATAGTCGAATTGGACTCTAAATTTTAATCTTTTCTATCCTATTTTATATCTTTTATTTATGGTTTTGTTTCTTAAAAATAATGTTTTAGAATGTAATGCCTCATTATTTGGTTCTTCACTCTTCTCATAGATAAAAGAACAACAGTGACTTCTTCTGATTGTATTGTTTTATATCTATACAACAAAGAAGTGACCAAATTCTTAAATGATAGAAGCAACAAATCAAACGCATCAAAGTTTTAATCTCATAACTTATTTTTAATATCAATATTTGTCAATTTCCATAGGATTTTTTTGAGGGTATTAAAGAAATCCAACATGCTTATCTTCTCTTTTATGTGCAAAGTACACAATTTCTACTTCATATGTAGTTAATTGCCAATGCCTTTGTAATATATGAGTTCATGGATTTTTCCTGTGGCTTTAGTATTAAATTCTTTTTCATAACATAGTATAACACCTCAAATTTAAGATTCAAACAAATTGTGCTTACTACTCTTAGGATGATTTCTTTTTTACTTTATGTCAGATTATCTATGGGCTCTTTTTTTTAGTTATTTGTGGTCAACATAGAAATTAACTCGAATTCACACGAACTATCTCTGCGTTCAATAGGACATGTTTTTAATAAGAATTGGTGATAAGCATGCAGGATAACAGTTTACAATAAATAAATATTTATATTTATATTTATTAAGATTTCTATTGAAAAATCTCAAAAGAATACCAGTTCGAATGTACTCATTCCAGCTCCTTCATCGCCGCAAACCTTCACAGATCCTCGAGAATGCAGGAGTTGACAACTGGTGAACAATCAGGCCAAATTCGGCGTCACTAACCGAATCTGCTTAGTTGGCACACATTCTCTTGTGAAAAATGCCAAACATCGACGATCTCTGCATAGTTTTGATTCCAGTAAGCTGATAATTTTCACACTCTCTTGTCGAATGCCCACATCGACGATCTCCGTGTGGGGTTTGGTTCCAGTGAGGTGACATTTACACTCATACACACACACACGCACACTCCGTTGTAAAATGCTACCATTGTCGATCTCGGTGTGGTTTTTGGTCAGTATAAATGAAGACCAGAGTTCTCTGAAGTTGTGCCCTGAATTCGAACATCACGCGCGGCTTGCACCCATCTATTACCGGGCTGGGATCCTGCCTCTGCGGAAGACCACAGCAACTTGGCGATCGTTAACATGGAAGAATATGAGAACGATTCATGGTCATACTGTTTTAAGACAACCAGGAGTCCCCTCTATATTCCCTTCCAGATGATTCGGCAAACCACTTTCAGGGGTTGCAGCCCCAGGTTAGCTTCATTTTTTAAGTCTCCCTGGTTTCTTCGGAGCCCACTCTGCTTGCAGAGCAGGATTGTGATGCATGTCGTAGCTGGAATCCACATAGCGCAAAAAAATTACAGCGATTGAAACTTAGCAATTTTGGTGAACACTGAGTATCTGATCTGCATCCGCTGGGTCTTTTCCTCAAAGTTTCATCAAGTTTTCAGTACATTTCGAGTGAGTTGATCGGCATGGTCTCGACAACTCCTCGTGCTCTGGGCGTGCCAATGAGTGTGGCAATATGTCTGATTATCCTCTTCGTCTCGGTGCTGAGAGGGTCTGCCGCGGAAGAGTCCTCGTTGCAGGAATCGAACTTCACGGGAGTAGGTTTAGGACTGTCGGTCTTCGCATACGTAGACACCATGGATGCTCCAGATCAGAGCAGTGCCCCATTGGCTTCTCCAGCTCTAGCTCCCGAAGGATCTCCAACTCCTTCTCCACAGTCTGCTCCACCAACACCATCACCAGGTCTTTTATACCTCAACCTGAGCAATTTCAGTGTGTTCGCATGGTTCGTATCCGATGCTCTCATGTAGAAGAATACTAAGTCGCTACTTACCTGATAGGGTTTTGAGCCTGGAACTAAATCAGATGAACCATTGCATCTGTGGACGTGACTGTTGCAGCTTTCACAGCGGGCGACGAAGCACCAGGGCCGAGTGCACTCAACCAGAGCGGTGACGCCAGTAACGTGGTCCCAAGTTTAGCCCTGCTCTTCACCATCGTTGCAGCAACTCTGCTCCTGCGATGATCTTACGTTACGCCTCTTGAGGTTGCGGATCACGATGCACGATCTTGGTACACTTATAACCAAAACTTAACAGCCGGTGGGTGTTCCGTGTGTATCTAGATATCCTGAGTTACTACAGCAGCAAGGGACACACCAGCTGCATCGCGGTGGGCACGTTGATGATCTGGCAAGCCGCACATGTAATGGTGGTACTACACAATCAAATCTGCAGCAAATTCTGAACCGCATTCGACCTGTCGCTGTATTTGGGCACTTGAGGATATTCCTTTGTTGGCGTCCAGACTGGGACTCATGTGGATGACTAGATTATGCGCTGGTGCCACTCGTTGTCACAGTGGATCTTAACTCGGTTCAATATAAAAATCCCACAAAATATATAAATATTTCATGTGCTTGCTGAAGTACTTCACACTTGGAACTCTCCTCTCACATGTAGATGCCGTTGGAAGGATTCAAAATGTTGCACCCTTCATACTAGTAGTGATAACTCTTCAGCCTGGTGTCAGTATTCGTTTAACAGTTCTCTAGTTCGAAATGGATACAGTCCCCGACGACATTGTCGGTAGTTTGTGATCACTAACCTTCGGAAGGAATCCTGACAGTAATATACCTGTCACATGGTCTTGAAGTCAACTCTCGCATTTTGTCGGATCGTGTAGTTAGCCCAACTATTGCCTCCTTCGACTCTGTTCCGTCGGTGTGCCGACTGTCGGAGGTCGAGCCTTTACTATTCGTCTTGCACGAGATGCTGCAGTTTAGAGTTGGAGATCTTACAGGGCTGGAGTTGCATTTGTATCTTCAGAGCTTTGTTTGTATTGTGTGTGTGTGTGTGTATATATATATATGTAAATGTATGAATGTATAGATTTAGTTTGAATGAAAACGACATGTAAATATCACAGTAGTATCCTTGTTAAAGATATTTACATTGCAATTTATGATGGTTCTAAACTGATGTTGTAAGTGGGATTCTTACAATAAACAAAGAATTAAAAAGAGAATATTAATAACACTACGAATAATAACAACAGCAACATAAAGGTTGTTCAATATCAGTTTCTAGGAAAATACTTATTCCACCGACTTCAGGCTGATAAAAAAATGGTTATACAATAATAAAACTACTTATTTTATTGTATTACAATAGACACACATCTGTTAACAGTAAAAATATATAAACACACACAAATACTAAATCTAAAGTATTAGTTGACATTTTTTTATACATCAATGAGCTTTAAATTGACTAGTAGTGTGATTTTTTATCTGAGATGTGAACCATGTTGTGAAGCAGATATTTTATTTCAAAAAATGAATATTCCATGATTCAAATTGCATAATACTGAATACGATATATTCTTTGAAACCATATGGATGCTACAATGAATCCATGGCAGAACATCCATCCAACAACACAAGCCAATAAATATAGATAAATAATGTTTTAATTCATCCAATAGATTACAGAATGCCAAGGCTACCTTAGATGAACTTATGCAGTTGGCTTTATCTTAATAGTCACTACATTGTCATGTTGATATTTAAACAATCATTTACATTCCACAAAGTATAAAATATTTCGTATTCCACGAAATGATTTAATTGCATGTGTTTTATGAAATATCTAAACAACACAATATGGTGGAATACTGGTTTCAAAACAATGTACTGAAGATTAATAGAATAAATTCTAATAGATATGCAAATAGAACTTAAAATTGAAGCTATGATGTTAAATTTGAATCACATGATGTAGAAAGAAATAAATTTATGTTTTAAAACTATGCCAATGGCTACTACATTTTTACATTTAGTATGCAAAGGTAGTATAATGCTTGGGAACAATTTTCAAGTAATAATTTTATGAGTGTTATGTTTGGTTGTCTGCTTGAAAAAATAAACTGTAAAACCATTGTGTCATGCACACAACTCAAAAGAGATGTGTACAAGGCATTATGTGTCATTTGATGCATTTATGAAAATAATTAAAATGAACACTTGAACCAAACAAACATGCTAATTAATATTGAGTGTGCATAAAAGAAACTAAAAGTAATCATTTTATGTAAAAATTAGTCAACACATGGTTCAATGTTTTTTTATTTGATTGATAATGCAAAAAAAATAAATCATAACTTTATGCTACTTATCTGTGTATCATGCACAATTGTAGTGTTAAGAGAAATTAAAATACCTACATCAATTTATTAATTAAACACAAAATCCTTTAGATTTCAGATATTTTATATATAACTATTAGATTACAAAAATATTTATTGTACAACATACAGGTATTTTTTTAATGTAAAAAACGTAGGTACAAAATTAAATAAAAAATTTATTAAGGTACTGTTATATTCGAAAAAAATTATTAAATCATAAATCAATGAATTTGTAGCAATTTCAGTAGATTTTGTAGTTCTAATTTTAAATTCTACTGTTAAAATTAAATATCTTTTTTCTATTTTGACAAATGTACACAATACAAGGAAAATGAAGGATATCAATTGCATCTTTATGCAACTTTTAATCTGCACATGTGATGATTATATTTTATTATAATTTTGAAATAACTGAATAAATGTTAGATTATATTGAAGTATTTATTAATTTTTGTAGTATCATTAATCTTCTACATTTGGCTACTTATAGTCTAGCAAAACAACCATATAAATAATGACATTAAAAGATACTTATCATCACAAATTTCTTCAAAAATAACTTTTCTTTGCACCACATAAATAACCAAAGCTTATCAAAGTTGTTGTACTTGGTATCTCTATCAAATTTTAACATCTTGTTTCTAGTATTGGAAAAAAGAATTAAACTTATGTTTAACAACATCATGTTTTAATGTTATTATTATTATTATTATATATATTTTATATTACGGATTTCTCTCACATGACATCAAAATTTTAAAACATTGAAGCTTTTTTACAGTGATTTTGTAACTATCTAATTTTATTTCGAGTTGTTTTTTTAAGCACTGTTCCTCAAAGAATTTAGCACAATAACAGAACTGTATTTAGCATCGTGTAAAAAGCTAACGTATTCATTCTTATTACTTTGTTCTTTTCTGAATTCATTTCATCTAATTCCAAAAACTTCATATAAGCACATTAACACACATCCACCGAAGTTCATATAAATGATTTTAAATGTATGGATTAAAATAATCAAAATATGTATGAAACATAGCTTTATGAGAGGTACAAAATGGAGTTTTGGTGAAAATGTTTCTTTGAGAATACCAACAATCTGATGGCAATTTCTTATTTACATCATACATTCTGTTCATTCTATTCTTGATGCTAATTATTTATAGATCCTTGAGAATACTAATTAAAAACCATTCATCAAAATCATGTTCTTCTAAGGTTAGACTTTAAAAATGAAAATTTGTAATATTTATTTGATAAACTAATGACAATATTCAATATCAAACAAAAACCAAAAGTGTTTAGGAACTTTCTAGAATTATAAACTCTTTTACTTCTATATTACTATAACATTGCAGCCACTTTGATAAGGTGCCTGCATCAAGTGAGAAAATGAATAAATAAATAAATAAACCACATCTGCATTGAAAAATATTTTATTTTTTCAATGCCAAGAATTTTTTAAAATGAAACATCACAAAATAGAATTGCATCACTCTTGTATTGAAACATCTGAATCAAGAATTGAACAAATATCAAAATGTACACAATTTGACCATAGTACAAATTGATGAATTTAAATTAACAAAACATTTAATTTTTTGATTGGTAATATAAATATATTAATATAGCAGAAAATGGGTTGTCATACATACATACATATATAGATATATATATATATATATATATACACACCTACAAGTTACCATTAGATGCATAATGTCCCACCGTACATGATTTTTGAAGGCCAATTTTACAACATCACTTAACATGATCTTGTCATTAGCAATGATGTTCTAAGTACCATCCCATGACCAAGTCAATCATACTCTTGAGGAGACTTAATGCATAATAACACTCTACACCAAATCACACATGTTTGAGATTCTGCTTTCATAATCAATATTTTATCCACAATATCACCACTTCAAGGATTAACTTTCTTTCGTCCTATATGTACATGTGTGTATATATACATGGATATATATATATATATATATATATCCAAATGTCGATATTCTTTTTTTTACTAGCATAGAAAAGAATTAGAAAGATAACAATGATGGCACAACACAACATTTTGAAATTTTATCTAAATTACAAAGGTCCAATTCACATAGTCACCAAAATAAAAATATCAGCCTTAAAATAGGAATAAATATATATATATATATATATAAGGAAATGTTAAAAAGACCCAAGTTTTTACTAAATAAAGCTACCCATGATGAAGAATATGGTTATTGTGATGAATGTGGTTAATTTTTATTAATTTTGTAGTGGAGAAATGAATGTAGAAATCTTTTTATTTTCATAACAATTAGGATGGGTGGGTCAATTTAGTAAAAAATCATGTCTATTTAACATTCTCCTCTTTATATATATATATATATATATATATCTTATGAATAAATGAAAGGGTGTAGGGAGAGTAAGAGACATTGGGGGGGGGTCACATCACGTCATTGCACAAGGAAGGGATGATGTTAAAAAAGGCTCACCACAATATATGTATGAAAGTGCATGCATTTGTGTGGTGCCTTCTTCATTCCAAATAAAAAGCATTAAAAAGGTGGGGTTTTCTGCAGTGTTTGTGTTCAACATCACTCCAATGTTTCTGTCCACTGTGCCTGCCCCAAAGGCTTTTTACTAGAGGTCAAGCAGTCAACTGCAGTGAGTGAATGCAGTAATCTGCACCTCTTTTTCTTTTTCTTTTTTCTTTTTTTTTGCTCTTTAATTTAAAAATGGGTTTACAAGAATGGAACAAAAAATACTGGTCCTTTTCTCCTCTTTACTTGTTTGTTTGTCCATGTGGCTTGCAGTTGTGCAACATGCATTGGCTTGAGGTAGTCTTCTTTTTTAATCCCTTTTTTGTTTGAAAAATAACACAAGAACTATACATCACTGCCTATAAGTTTAGCTTAAAGCAAAAACCAAACAAAAAAAGATCAAAAAAATTGAAATTTTATAACTTGAGTTGATTCAAGTGAACATGGTTGGGAAATAAAGCAAGCACGTCTATAACAAAAGAAACCAATAATAGATATCTTATAATCTAAATTTAGGAAAATTAAAGCCATATCCATTACTATCTGTTTGAGCCCCAGTTTATAGCACCACATTTCTTGAATAATTCATAGACAAGCTCATTCCATCATTCACTACATTCAAACACATATTTTTACAAGAAAATTAAAAAAATAAAAAATAAAAATAAAAAAAGGGAAAAGAAAGAGAAGAGACTATAATCCCATTAATGATCCAATAAAATATAACCTTTGTTGTTGTTGTTGTCGTTGTTTTTATGTGCGAGCTATTTACTACGAAACCCACATGACCGTATTCAATAATCACATGAGTTTGGTGCAAATACGCAACAACCCTAAAACCACGCACATTCTCATGACCGGCAGGATTGTATTCAGGAAATCGACGATCAAAAACACCATTTTATTTTGGTTTTTTGGATTTTTTCGTTTGTTTCGCTCCAGCGACGAGTGGAAAGCGGAGCTTAGGAACTGGTAAAAGGGCGCAAGTCAAACACATTCTACCGGAAGCTGCAACATTCGGCGTGTTCCAGGAGACCAGATAAGATCATCAGAAGAGCTTCGCAACTAGCTTTTTCCCTGGCAGCGTGTGTATTTTTGCATTGCTCGCTGCCTGGATTCGTGAAACTAGCTGATGACGATCACTATTACTTGAGTTGCTTTTGTTTGTTTGTTAGTTTGTTTTTTTGCTATTTTACGTTGTGTGCATGCAGAAACTGCGTGCGATTGGAGTCGCGAGGTGCTTGAGTGGGCGCTGCAACCCATTAGGTAGAGATATGAGTACTGGATTACTGAGACCGAGGTGGTACTTGGTTGTTCATGACTTACCAGGGAAACGGGAAAAAAGGAGAGAGAAAGGGAGAGAGAAGTGGCGTGTAAGAAAGGGGAACACGCATGATCCATCGCCGTCGATATGCGCCAGAAGGCGTCAGTGTCCTCCCCAGAAACACTAACGCTACCAGTAGTGGGCCATTAAAAACCAGTGTGGAATGCCGGAACAGTTGACAAGCAGCCATCGCAAGACAAGACGAAAAATAAATAATTAAATAAACTGAGGGCAAACTAAATTTAATATTAGTAACAATGGGACTCGGCGCGGAAAGGAAGACAACATTCGAGTGCAATGCAATGGAACACACGAGGTTGCGAGTGCGCCGTTGTTGGCGACATCGATGTGTAAAGCGAATAGATCCTCCTTCTCTCTTGTGTCTGGTTCCTCCGTGCCGTCGTCACACACCACGGCGAACTTAAACTTCTGTGCTACTTTTGCTGAGTATGTTGCTTGAACATCAGTGAACGATGGAGTGGGGGAAATGGGCAAGGAGATAAATCAGGGAGGATTAGTGCAGTTGAATCAAACAATGGTTTCGAAGAATATTCACACAACTACCTCAAAATGATAACTAAAAAACTGGAAATGGATGCATATTGGAAGGGGTAAAATTGGTTTGGTAACTTCCTAAGAAGCATCTTCCAAGCAATTTTTCTCACTTGCTTACTCTGTAGTAGTATTACTGGAAATCCATTTTAAATATAAGTGACCTCACTATGTGTAGAAGTCATGCTTCCTTATTATTTATTTTTTTTATTATTATTGTACAAACGTGTGTTCAGAATAAAAAATGTGAGGGAAATTTGGAAAAAAAATCGGATGGCTCTTCATCTCTTCTCACTACTGTGGGTATATTCCCATTCACGCGCAAGTTGGTTCAATGACCAAGCTTGTTGACTGAGATACTTTACCTTGAGCACTTAAAACAACGACAATACCCAAACTATTTGCATTCATATTCTTAATCACAGTCATCAAGCTTTCATGTCAAAAAGCCAAGATAGAAACACCACAAAACTCTGATAGCTCACCTCACCTGAATCACCATCAATGATCCAAGTCTGCAAGCATTGAACTCCATAAATGTTTCAATGGATCATTAACATGACTGGTAGACGATAACGCAGTCTAGTATCATTTATTGGCTTTGGATGGTTGTCTTCCCCTTGGCAAAGTTACCACGAAAAGATGCTGTAGAATAAGATCGTCGAGAATCGGTGTTGTCAACATCGCAGGTGGTGGTAAGATTGAGAAAAATGCACCCCACCTCAACGTCGAACCATCCATCCTCCTCCCGAAATCCGGTAGTTGGTGACCATTGGAGCCTTTCATTGATCTCGGTGCAGTCTTGTCGGGCTCACCAACACCAACTACGTCCCAAATATGAGATTCAGGGGCTTCACATGTGAAGTCAAGAATTTGGTGGAAAAGAGATGATAGGAGTGCAATGTTGACGCCCAGCAGAACGAGCAGCAGTTACACTACTAGTATGCGGGCCCCACAAAAAAGCGAAAAGTCGGCGTGAGTTGCGAGCATGTGGAGCCGAAGAAACCCCATCGGGGCTTTACTTTGTGTTTCAAAAGATAATTCTTTTTACTGCGCAATCACTGAATCGGAGTTTAGGGCCACCACCCAGTTGCGTTCATTCTTACGCAACTCCCCTCCAATTTTTCTACCGTCTAGCGAAGGCATCCTAGACAACGACGACGACGCAATCGTTAGTCACGGAAGTAGCACTTGTGCTTCCGGGCATTCAAAGTCCCCACCACCACCACCACATCTGCAACTAAAGTCCCACTTCGACGACGTGGAAATTCACGACGGCGACTGCGTGCAATTCGATGTATTATATCCAGACTGAGTGTGAGTCGCGATCAGTGCTGCATCCGACTAGGCAGGGAGTGGGGAGGAGGGGTCGAATGAGGTCGAATGAATGAGCCTCACAGTTCATCGAAGATCGAGCCACGGGTGCAAAGAAGGAGTCCGCCAAGCGAAGCGGTTCCATTTACGCGAGGGGGCATTCACATGGGAACCCCCTCCGAGATTGGCCACCACTAACTTACTCCCCCCCCCCCCCCCATTTCGCTGAATCGTATATGGTGACTGCCCATCCGCTCCCGCTGCGCAGGTGTTGCTAGTAGTGCTTGCGCTGGAGGGAGAATACAGTTTTTCAAACTGCGTTGTGAAGAGGGCGTTCGACTTTTATTTTTTTGTTGATAACAACTGGGTGTGTGTAAGTGTTGCATTGCGCGCGAGGTTTATCACATTTGCAGGCTACAGTCGATCGTGGACAGCTGTCTTGCAGCTGCTTGCTGCATTGTGTTTCAGTGCCAGACGTCAACACACGAGTTCTATCGTTCTTTTGCAAAGTCCCAGATTTTTTAGAAGCTAGGCGAGATGCGCAATCTCTCGCAGACGGACTTATGGAACAGGAATCGGTAAAGTTGGATCGCTCTGGCTGGAATCGATGACATGCGCTGCAAGTCTTTTGTTTGAAGCTTGATCGAAGCCCGATCGTCGCCATCGCCGTGTCGAAACAGCGACCTTTAGATGCATGCGTTTTGTTTGCTTGAGGCGCAAGTAAGCGCGCTTGGGACTCTGGTGGCTTTCGCATTTGTCACCTCAGTGGGTTGCTCATTTTAGTGGTTTTTGGTAGCATTCAAGCAGTCTCTGTTTGTGGAGGCGACTTGGGGGCCTATAATATTGTTGACGCAGTGACTTGGTTGCGAAGATTCTGATTGTTCGCGATCCAAGGAGCTCGAGTTTAGGGTTAAAAGTCGGTCACCATGAGGAACGATCCAGCGCCAAATGAGCGGACGGGTTTTTTCAGTGGCAAGATGCTGCAGAAGACGCTGCACAACTCGCGCATTACGATATTGTGTGGGGTCGTGACCATTCTCGTTCTTCGCGGTACCATCGGCAGCGGCGTCGACAAAACCCACTTTCTCGATTTGACTCTGGACATGGACGACATACCGGACGTGGAATGGGATCCGAAAGTGCCATTCAAGCTAGGACCTACGATCACCAACTGGGACGAGCAACGCGCCAAGTGGATATCGAAGCACCCCGGCGCCAACGTGAACCTCCAAGGCAAGGATCGAATGCTGCTAGTCACTGGCTCACAACCAAGGCAGTGCGAGAATCCTGTGGGAAACTTTCAGCTTCTCAAGGCGTTAAAGAACAAGATTGATTACTGCAGATTGCACGACATCGACATCTTCTACAACATGGCGCATTTGGATATCGAAATGGCTGGATTTTGGGCGAAGCTGCCTCTGCTGCGGAAGCTTTTGCTGGCGCACCCGGAGGTCGAGTGGATCTGGTGGATGGACTCGGATGCGCTCTTCACCGATATGACTTTCGACATTCCTATTGAGAAGTATAAGGGCTACAATATGGTTCTGCATGGTCTTGAAGATGAGGTTTACGACCAGAAGAGCTGGCTAGGGCTCAACACTGGTAGCTTTCTCTTCCGCAACTGTCAGTGGTCACTCGATCTTCTCGAGGTGTGGGCTCAGATGGGACCCAAAGGCCCGGTTCGAATAGAGGCGGGTAAGCTTCTCACGGCTTCGCTTGCCGGCCGGCCGGAGTTTGAAGCAGATGACCAGAGCGCGCTGGTTTACTTGTTAGCGACCAACAAGGAGAGATGGGGATCGAAGGTGTTTTTGGAGCATTCCTACTGCTTGCATGGTTACTGGGTCATGCTTGTGGAGCGCTTCGAGGAATTGATGGAATTGGGCTCGCGTGGCGGTGGCGGTATTGATAGTGGTACAGACTATTACCGATGGCCGTTCGTGACACATTTCGTAGGTTGCAAACCGTGTGGCAGAGACGGGACCAGTCATTACGCTACCGACCGGTGCCTCAAGCACATGGAGCGCGCTTTCAACTTTGCGGACAATCAGATCCTTGAGCACTACGGGTTCCAGCATCAGACGTTGAACACTTACAAGACTCACCAAGTTGTGAACGATACATCGGATCCCTTTGGAATCGCAAGTCGTTTGCAATCGCGGTAGCAGTCATTTTCGTGGTCTCTGGGAACTACCCCGTGAACAGGAGACTAGCGGCGTCGATTGGCAGCGTCCTCGTGGGGCATGCTTCCTTCGAGTAGCTGTGCAACCTCTTGACGTGCACGTGAGATTTATTGAGATTAAAAGGACGACTTGGGGGCATCGCATGGTTGTAAATTTCATCGGAGAATTTCCTGCTCTGCGACTTTAACCAACATTTGGGAATAATGGAGCCTGGGGACGAATTTTTCGCGGTCGATGTTAGCCAGCAGGAGAGAACTATGACTTATTAAACTCGCTCTGCGAGGGAGACGAACAAGCTTGGAGCGGTCCGGCATCCACAAATTGAGGGTTGGCGTTCGCGATTCGGTCGACATCAATTGTCAGTATGGATGATCCTGTGTGGTGTACTTGTATATCATCGCAATCTGAGGACTAGGTTATAAAGTAATCGGCGTTCAGAGTAACTGATCCACATCGTCAACCCAGAATTTGACGCGATTTAGTAGTGATCACTTTAACCCCAACATGCAGCAGTGCTCAGATCTTTCTTCTCCCTCGACCATTAGTTTGATTTATCGCTTGTGATATTATTTACCAACTGGCGACTTGTTTGTCTGTCCAGTGATGTGAATACATTCAAACTGGCAGCTCTATTTGATCACAAGCTCAAGTTGTGTCCATGGACATATTGCTGACCTAATTGTCTCCAAGTCCTCATGTTTGGGTGTCGTCGCTGGAGGCCTTCGATAATACACACTTGGTCCATTCTTTTCCAATCTCTCCCTCACAGGAATATTTCATTTTTACTCTTGCGCCATCGTTTTTCAATCAAGCATCAAGAACCCTTTGTCAATACCCAATTTGTTTCCCGCATTCGTAGATGCCACACCCTGGAAATGGGTTCGAATGTTCGAACAGAAATCGGCTGTGCGTGTTCTGCATCCATGCATGTGCATGTCACGAACGGATGCCATTGCCAGGGTACCCTATTTACTGGATGCAGCTCGCTGAACACTGCACTGCGAGAAGCTGATCGACCCACCTGACGAAAATTTATGAATCCCCCCCCCCCCCCACACTTAAGAGCGTGCAGAAGATAGTTCTCAACCAGAGGCCAGATGCTGCCTCTGCGGCTGCTGCAGTACTCATGGGGACCCCAGAATCAGTACATGCACAAGAGAGGGGCATTGATATCAGCGAACACTCGTGAGATTAACAGATTTAGCACAAGATGTTCTAAATTGAGCTTCTGACATGCCCCAGGAATTTCGCTCCCCCTCCCCCCCCCCCTACGAACTCGGTTGTGGTTCAGTACCCTCTCGGCGACGTCGTCGTGACGAGGACCTAAGTTACCTCGCTCCGCCATTCTCTGCCACCAACTTCTGATCACAGAAACTGCCGAAATCCGTTCATGGCTTGTACAATGAAAGCTCTCGGCAGCCGTCTCACGAATCACGGTGCTCGTTGCGGAATCATCGACCGTTTAGGTCATGAAATTAGCGGTGCTCGACTGTCAGTGAGCACGCCTTCGAGGAATGAGTTTCATGGCTGTCAAAAGCTTTCACGAGCTCCACAAAACTGACTTGGTGCTTTGGTTGCTGGTGGTCGTTCTTGAAGCCCTAATTCTGCACCACATAACCAAACCCTATTATTCTACTAGCTTTCAAGGTTTAAACGGTGCACTGTAACTGACTTTCGTGTTCAATTCCGAGAAATTATATCGCATTTAAATACAATTAGATCAGAAACCCTAATTCTGCACCACAAAACCAAATTTTATTGATAAAATGTGCGGCATACTATACTAATGTATTCCATCACACTTTTTTCAATATCAAGTTTGTTGAAAACGTTATGGAAACACATTCAAAATTGTTTGTATTAAAAATGATCGCACACGTCACATGAAAACGTGTTATTTATTTCCTTGTTTTATCTATATGTTTTAATCACGATTTGCAGTTGAAGCAACCAAGATACTAAACCAGAATATTTTAGCAAATTTTTCTCAATTTTTAACAATATATGTTCTGAATTTGTTGCACACTGCCATTATTTGATTCCTTGATGAAAATTACTCTGTTTTAATTGTTTCTTACCAAAGAGCCATGGTTTCTCTCTGTTTAACCATGGGATTATTATAATCTTATTATACAAACAAATGACCACATTAGTTTTCTTGCCTTGTCGCATATTTTTGTTGAGTACATAGTAGTGATGATCAAGATCCAAACATTGAAATTTCACTGTACTTTGACAATGAATGTATATGAATACGTTAAAACCCAATTTTCAAATAAAATAAATTGTCATTTCTATGTATTATTATTATTATTCTCAAATAAAGTTATGTGAGGATAAAAGGTGTCACCTTTGAGAGACGGACGGGATGAAGGTGAATGTGAGCTCCACATCATCTCGAGACCCACTTTCTGAATTTATAATGAAACCCTCCCATTCAGATAATGCCACGTGTCATGTATTCCCCCAACAGATGGCGAATAGTAGAAGCTTCCGAGCCCGAGTAGACGCGGGTATAGAAGTGGAATGATGGGTCATAGGTCACCGTGACTCCACAGATGTAATGACAGAGAAAGAGAGCCTATTTCCATGTAGGGGGTGAGACGTAGAGATCCGTAACAAAAGCATAATTTGTTTTCTTCAAAAAACTATATATATATATATAAACATATTTTTAAGATTCTACTGCATGTGTTACTATTGGCAGTGGTGACGTTTTCACATAGATTGTTGAAAAGTATTCCTCTGTATAATTTAGATTTCCAATAGTGTATACAGAAAATATAATCTTGATCATTACTTAGAGAAATTATTCTGCATGTCTACAAAATCAAGAGTGTAACAAAACATGTAAATGATTATATGCTGTGGGTCAATGCGACCCTATTTCAAAATTTGTAGAACCAATCAAATATGAAAATACATAGCAGTGATTTTCTTAAGGAATTGTGGAATATTAACCACATCATTAGTATAAATGAAATAGAGTAAAAAAAATATGTGTTGAAACCTGGCTTACTACATGAATAGTGAACATCATGTTCCCCTAAGACATTACCTGGAAATAAAATTATGCATTCATTATAATCAAAAATTCAAAACCAAATTTTAGCAGTTGAAGTTTCATTTCAAAAAATATTATGTTTCTTTATAGAACTATATTATATAAGGTTATATAAGAAACTTAGAGAGAAATAAAAGCTTAAGAAATTTAAATTTTAACGATTTAATTATTTTAAATACTTATCCTACAAACACAATTTTGCTCCAAAACAAAAATTATAAAATAAACTCAATAATGGCCATTAGTAAATTAAATTAACATTTTTAATAAAGTATGTTTACAATTGAATATTTTGTGCCTACCCTTTGTATCTAATGCAAAAAATACAATCTTCTCTTGTACTACATAGACAAATTTAGAAATGTAATACTTTTATGCACACATTCAAAACACTTAACTAAAAATATTATACCATACATTTTTCATAAATAAAGAAGTTTAATCATGTTCATATGTTTTAATAAGTAATTTAATATGGAGTTTTTAAAATAAAAATGAACAACTGTTATTTAATTTTCCAAAGTTAATGTTTTAAAAATTGATTTGTACAAATTCTAAATTTATGGTTTTAGTTTCGTATTTTATTCAGACCTCACCTAGATGATTCTGATATGTCTTTGCTTATTAAAGTATATATTTATTTTAATACAAAAAATTTGTAAGATAATTACTTATATTTCAAATGTAAAGAATAAGAATTACGTGCTTTCAAAATACTATCAATACATAAGAATATAAATCATGGATTTAAAATATTGAACAAGGAAACTATTAAGCCTTTTTGGAACGACAATTTAAATAGAATAATAATTTTTTAAATATTAAAAACACATTGTGATGCATACATACATGCTAAAACTTTATACTATTGTGTGTAATTAAAATAAAGAAATGAAATAAAGAAAATTTATAAGCTAAGAAGATACTTCAAGGCAATTTCTAACACAAAAATCTGAAGAGTCCCGATTTAAGATTGGAATACTAAATAGATGTTATAACATTGTAAATAGCTTAAATTTTATCTTTGTACATAGTAGTTAGCAATAAGGCTATAAAGATTTTTTCTAAAGATAATGTTACTTGTAGGACAAGTATCAAAATTAGAGGATGTGTCTTAGTTACTTCCTAAACTTAAGAAATTTCATTGCAAAATCATTCCAGCCACATAACAAACTTGTTGGCATAATTTACATTTTAAAAGTTATTGATGATAATTTTAGAATATAATAGTTATTTGAATTATATATATATATATATATATATATATATATATATATATATATATATATAATAATTAATTAAATTTTATCTACGTGATCTATACATGTATTTATTAAATGTTATGTGTTCCATATCTTCCTACAATATTTTCATTGAAAACATAAGAGGTTGATAAAAGCAATAAGTTTATAAATTTTGGGGAAAATAAAAAAATAAAGATAAAAATTAAAATAAAAACACCAATGCTATATATAAAAATAAAAAAATATACATATAAATATAATTTGTAATTTTTTTTTTTTTTTTTTTTTTTTTTTCCGTTAAGTTATCAAGTAGGAACTAATAGACACGTATAAAAGTTAGAATAAACTGTTCTGAGAAATTCTTTGTGTGATAAAATAAATGACATTGTTTTATAAAATTACAACTACATAGAAATTTATTACTCCATAGTTTTGGTTATTTTTTTTATTTGATTTAATTATACTTTTTTGTCAAGTCATGTGACATGGGTAGAACAACATGGGCATTATAAAAATTTTACTTTAAAAATATTAAATAGGCATAAGATTTTGAGCATGGACTATATTATCAAGTAAATTTCATATTTTTTCTTTTATTCAATGACTTTTATGAATTAAACTTAGTAATATGGATATCAACTTTATCAAGGATACAACACTTTGTATGCATATTTATTTTTTAGATTTTGTTTAGATTCAATATAACTAGATAAAATTTTGTACAGAGTAATTGTATTTACCAAATAATTTTAATTTTTACCAAATAAATTTTACCAAATATTTTTTAATCTTTTCTCTATTAGATTAGCTGTTAACTTGAAATGAAAATATTATTAATATTGCACTCTTAAGTGGTATAACATAATTTTTTTTTGTTTTTTTTTAAATGAATTATTTCAAATTTCATATAACAGATGTAATTTATTATAGAAAAAATAAATAAGAATAATTTATTAGCCGCTTTTTGTTTTATTTCCAGTACTTATGTTATTGTATCAAATTCATTAATATATCCTACATAATCACTAAAATGAATAAGTAAAAATATTTATATGTGAATTTTTTTATTTTTTTTCTCTAGTCTATCTCTAATAGTAGAAATAGAGACCTAAAATGGCATATACCAATGTAGTATAGTTATATTTTTAAGAACTAATTTATATATGCTAAGAATATTAATTTTTAAAAGTTAAATTGAAATTTGAGTCTTTTGGTAAAGTTTCAACATGCTATCAAATTTACTAAAAATACGTTACATAAGCGGATCATTAAATAATATTAGAGTAATATTTATATTTTTATAAACACATATTAATTAGAAACATTGATTTGCAAAAAATAATAAAATAATATTAAAATAAATTATGTATCATTTTTCATACATAATCATAATTTGCATACATGATAACTGTAACAGGTGGCTATTTAGGCAAATAAAATATATTTTTAAGTATATCCAATCAAATTGATAGTTTAGAGGTGATGAAGGCAATGAGTCTAAGTAAAGCTACATTCTTTTTTAATGGTATTAAATGTATTAACTAATATGATACTAGAAGCTTTCTAACCATTATGTATGTATCAAGATTCATCCTTATCATTTTCAAAAGACCCTCTACTATTTGATATCCTTGTTAAATTTAGGAATGGAAGCAATATATGGATTTGCCTCACTACCTATTGTTTCTTGCATATAATACTTGTGTATGTATATATATGTACGTATATAAGAATAATTTTTTAATATATGTAAGACTAAATCAAATGAAAACTGTAAAAATGGAATATCATTATTTTTATTCTTGTCTTTTTTACTCTTTGAGCTAAATAACTTGAAAATTATATATATTTTTTTTAAAATTAATCCAAATAATTAAATTAAATTAAATTCTATCTTAAATTATAATTTTCTACCTCACTTATTTGTACATTCTCATATTAAGTTCTTTATTTATATGCAATGACCGCTTAAACTATATGGACAATTCTTTACTTTTTATTGTTTTGTAACTTGATTAAACTACATCAGCACAAACACCACAAAAGCTCAAAGAAAACCACAGCATACAGATTGGCAAACTTTAATTGAATTCTATGTTGTGTAAAAAAGGATCAAACTTGACATGATCCTAATCAATTTTGCATTTCACACTGTATGAATGCATGTCGTTATTTAAGTATAACAAATAATTTGTATGTCTACAATCACATTCAATTGCTAAGTCCTTCCAGATAGTTATTTTCAACAATAATACATGTTTGATTAATTGAGCATACGTGATTGGTTATTTATTTATTCTTGTATATGTTACCTTCTCGAATTTCACATGTGAAAACAGCTGAAATATGACCGATAAATTCAATGAGCAAGAAATTGATTGACATTTATTTTATATTTATTTTGTGCAAAAGCAACCAAAACTTTATAGATTGACTCCACCACACACATGTGGATAACTATATAGATATAGAAAGGAAATGGATCGCAGTGCTCACTCCAACAAAGACTGGAGGCACCATGGTCATACTCACCATGAAAAAAAGTTCGGAGAAGTCCCTAATTTCATTCTTAGGTCCCACCGAGATTCGAACTCGGGTATTTGGATTCAAAGTCCAAAGTCGTAACCACTGGACCATGGGACCTGGACGTGCGCATATTTGTACTATGTAAAATTTAAATTTTTTATACTTGGTTATCTCTCATTTAACAATTGGTTTGATTGTTCATTTTTCTCACCGAAAAATTACTTTCAGGATTCCTTATAAGACTTTATTTTTCTTACCAGAATTATTTAAAATATTTCTATTGTGTCACAAACACTCACCAGTAAGACTACGCACTAACGAACGGTCGTTCCCAGAAATTCGCACATCGTATTTAACTTTGAGAACACAGTCATTCGGTACGCATTGTGTCCTCGATTCCCATGCCCCCATGTTCCCACGAAGTCTCCATTCAGTTCCCAAGATGTTCCCACTATGTTACCGATGGGCCTCGAATATCGCTCCGCCCCCTTTCACCGCGCGCGGCGTCTGCGGGGTGGTGGGTGCGTGGAGGAGGTGGAGAAGGGAGGGAGTGCGTGATCCTTCGCCGTGTTGCGAAGCCAATGATATTGATTGATTACGAGTCTCGCAAGCGATTGATTCAATGTTTGTACACGCACACACATTGATCGACAGATAGATAGATCGATCAATGTTGGCGGACACTGCGAGGGAGGGGAGGGATCGGAATTAGGGTGCAACTAGCTTTGTAGTGCATATCTTTTTTAGCGTTTGAAGCCCTTATTCCCAGGGTTACACCCTTCCTGGGGTTGGGGTTTTGTCGCCGTTAACGAGGGTTTAGATATGGGTATTGGCTACTTCGATCGAAGGACAGGGCAATCGATTGGACTGCCGTTGTTGTTGATTCACATTTTTTGTGTCTAGATCGCTGGATTTAGGGTGGGCGGCGCTGCTTGATACGATGCCCACGGATCGATGTAGTGTTTGTGTTGATTATGAGAGAGAGACAATCTTGGTTCAATGGTGATGCGAATGTAGGGGTAGGGATAGTGTAGTGTTGTATTTTATTTTATTTCATTTCATGTTTTTAGGATTGGATTTGTGGATTAGATGATTTGGTTTTGGCTTGAGCAGTGGCTCTGAGTACGTGGTGAACTTCATGTAGACCCACTTGAACTTGAATCGGATGCTCTGGTTTTAATTAAGCGTTGGTTCGGGATTTTGATGGTTTTTAATCATCAGTGAGAGATGAAGCAACCTAGCTGGGGATATTATTGCTCCCCATTGGGTTGACACAAGTCGAAACTTGACATTAGGGTTGAATCGGAGGTCAGGAAGAGTTAGGGCAATGGATCGGGAGCATGAGATAAAGGAGCCAGTCTCGGATGTGGTGGAGACTGTGGCACCTGAACCCCCGGAGGATTCTGATGACGAAGCTCTTCTCGAGTATTTTTCTTACCGTGAAAAGCAGGCCAAGCTGGAGAGTGCCCGATGGGCAGGTTACTCTGAACATCAACCTGCAATGCAGATTCTGGATCTCCTCCAAGAATCCACAACGATCCTCCGAAAATACAACGTCATTCTTCTAATCCTGGGATTGTGCCTAGCAGTACCGTTATCCGCAATCCTTCTCTCTCATGTGCTGCTTCGGCTTCCCTTCATGGATCATTGGGTCAAAACGGTGCAATTCGCGGCGGAGCAAAGATTCAAGCAACACTCGCATCGAGCCGGATATAGAAGACTAGCGGAAATCTTAATGTCGAACATGGTGGACATTCCATTCTCGGCATTGTTCTCTCCTCTGCTCAAGGCAGGTGTAGCATACGTTGTAGCCGCCACCTACAGTCGTAAGAGACTCGAACTGGAGGAGGTGGTGGACGTTTTGCAAAGGATTTGGTTACTGCTTATGCAAACTTTCATGTGGACATGCGCTGTGTTCTTGGCCTTCGCCGCTGCATTTGCCTCACTATTGTGGTTTGCGTCTCATACGGGATCCATCTTCGGTATGACCACTTTTATTGTCGCAACTATGGTTGGACTCGTTCTAGCAGCGGGACTGGCGTATGCGAACGTGATGTGTAATCTTGCTTACGTGGTTACTGCTCTCGAAGGATCTCATGGTCGCCCAGCCCTAGTCCACAGCATTAATCTACTCAAGGGAAGGTTCGAGGTCGCTCTGTTGTTATTCCTCGTCACCAACGTGAACGCCACTCTGCTGGATGTTCTATTTGAGTTCCACATCATTCGCAACACGAATCCATCGGCTGCCCACGACAAATATTGGGAAGCGCCATTGCTCGTATGTATGCACTCATTTGTGTACCTCTTCGACGCCATTATGGTAAGTGTCTTGTATTACTTGTGCAAATCATCAGATTCAGACAATCGGTCAGCTCCTCATGCTGTAGAGGATCAAGCTAGTACTAGCGAACTTGCAGAGGAGAAATCACCATTAGTCGGGTGATAACCCATGGCTTTCAGTCCACCTTCCGCAGCGGATCGCTGAGATCTGACACACATGTACATTAATCTACCCATCATTTTGGCTCGAGCTAGGTTCTGGACAAAAGAACAATTTTTTTCTACCCTCTTCATTCAGTTCTCTTTCGTTGTCCTGTTCTGATTGAATGTGCATAGTCTTGTTTTTGCTATCAGTCGAGTATGCGTCAGTGTTGCCTTCATGAGCTGCTGAAGTATACATCCACTCCCGCACACTTGTCTATTCTTTAGTGTCGTTACTGTTTTAGCCCTCCCAAGCTCGTTTATGTTTATTAAGTTCGAGCTGTATCTTCCTCCTAGTGACCTCTTTCAATTCAATTGATCACAATCTTGGAACCAATCCAAACGATTAGCAGTGCTGACTCGTGATGCATTAAGGATTGATTGAGCTGAGCATGGCAGGTGGCCACGTGCACGGAGTGTGCTCTTGAGATCCACACTCATCCACTTTGATATTGATGTTCAACAAGTATTCTCACAGTAAAGCCTGCTATAACGACCCAAAAATCAACAGTAAAATCTCTAAAAAAAAAAACTATAATTTTTCTAAGCCATGTTCGATAAACTTTGGTGTTTTAATATTGTTTTCGGCAGGAGAAAAAATTCCCACGTTTAATGTAGTCTTGCTTCACCTGATTTGAGCTCATAATCTCCCTTCACTTCGGATCTTACTCCTGATGACTGTTGTGTGGGCTTCATCCTGTTGCATATGAAGCTTTGATTGCCATAAGTGTATACAATTAATTGAATTATAATGTTGTTCAACTGACTCTTTCATTTGTATGATGTCCTTTCACAATCCAGTTCGAAAGACTTTCAAGTATTCACTGCATTTTGTATAACATGCTCACTGTTATACTGCAAAGTTTACTTTGCATAAGAGTATTAATACGAATGTAATAAAATATGATTTTTTTTCTAGATGGGATACAATCAAATGTTTGGACAATACATATTTTGTTTCTAAAAAGCATTTTGGATCTTAGTCAAGAGTAACATGAGATTTAGTCTAACTATTTTATCATTTTACTTATAGTTTACAAATAATTTGATATGTGCACATGTCAAGTATTAGTGTTATCATAGTTGCCACCATAATTGTAACTAATACAAATTCTAAATACCAAACGAACACCATTTTATTTATTTATTTATTTTAAATCTAGATTTTTAACATTCTAACACTCAAAAATAAACCAGTCAATGAATAAACATATTAAACTATGTGCTATTAAACATATTGCCAACTATTCAATTATATAAATGTTCTAACCACAACTATTTGCGTTGTCAACTACATTTCATGTATTTCAATTGGTATCACTAAGCTCACGTCAAACAAGATGTGTGAAATACTTTAGTTTCAAAATGTAAACCAGGTATCACATAAACGTATTCAGAAAGGAAACGTCCTACAAAGATGTTACAAAGCTACAAAATCGTAAAACAAAAACTCTGCAGCTGTTTATTAGGGTTTCTGTGGGAGTGTGCACATCACACTTGTCTTTCAGAATTTGAATCGAAGTTGCTGCATTGGCATTGGAAATTCCGTCGAATTCTCGTGAAATTTGGTTTCCAAGGCCTCAAATCATTGTAGTGGATGCCTTCCAGGTACTTCAAACCGTAGAATAGCCATTGTTTATGAAAATTAGGTCACAGAAGTTTTTTTTTATCAAGGTCCTGATCAAGAATACTTTGCTCGTTCGTGGAGTGGATTTTAGGTGGAGTGTGTTTCAAATACTGTGTTTCAATTCCATCAGCAGGTGGACGTGGTTGCGGATTAGGTGTCGATTTGTGAATAGAACCTTGCAATTTTGCATCCTTTTTTGTCTTGCATCAACAACAGTTAGTCGAGCTGATCACCGTCAATTTCATGGAATTTGTCTTTTCAGCTCATGGAAACTAGACAACAGGTATGGTACGACAATAGATCTTCAGTGTACCTTACAGCTTAGACCTTCGGAAGGCGGGTATCTTTTTTCTGGTTGCACTTCATGTGTGGCATACAGGTTACAACATGTTGAGGCACATTGAAGTCCTGCGATCACTTCGCATCTACAGGGGAGCAAACGAATCACAGCATGAGGTGCAGAGTTTGAGAAGGAGAAGACGCGACCAGGTGGATTTGTTCAGTTATTGCCTAGTTCTGATTCACATTTACATTCTGGTTTCAATCCGTACACACACACACACACACACACACACACATATATATATATATATATATATATATATATATATATTGATTGTATGGATCATCTGAGTTAAAATTGTTGCTTGAATTCCACTTTTTCATTGCTATATTCATGTGCTGGAATCCGAATGCGCTGAAAGCTGCAAGTATCAGGGACCCTGGATGTGGCAGCGCTGACAACGGTGCATCAGTGTGAGCACTTTCCTTTTACCTGTAATTTCAATTCGCATGTGCTTCAATGCAGGTGGCTTGATGAGGTTTGTTTCATTCGTCTACTGACCTTCAAATCGCTAAACCTTTTGTCTTCACTCGGCCGTTTTTTTCCCCTTATCTGTAGGGGATTTCATATCACCGAATTGACATCGTTGATCCTTCTCAAGGCCTGTTATTTTGCAAGAATTTTACATCTGTAAACTTCACCTTGCTATTGTGAATTTTATTTTAATTTCTTCTATTTCTAGTGTATCATATTCATATCTTACACGTCATATCTTACCTGATGTTGTGATTGGTGTTTACTAACCGCTCCTCACTAATTGTGTTACTTCCTTACATTTTAGCCTGCCATCAGACGAACCAGTTCTAAGGTTGGTCTGACGTCGTTATAGCTCAAGTCATGTGTGCTCTTGAGCCAAAATAATTTAAAAATAATTTTAAAAATGTTATATACGAAAAGTGCAGACGTAGAAGATCAAGTTGTATGTCTGCTTATATATAAAAAAAAAAAAATGGTGTCTATTCGTCTACAAAAATCATCGATTGGCTGAGGTTGTTAGCACTCAGCTCTCTGCGGGGGGCTCTGTCGGTGTCATTGGGCACTGTTCACACTACAGCCTCATGTTAGATGGCCAGAGTCCTCTGCACGGTGATTCGTCTGTGTCATTAGGCCCCGCTCACACTGTAGTTCCATTCACACTGAAGCTTCGTGCTATGTGGACAGGGTTCTCTGCAAGTGTTCTCGGATCCCGTTCACACTGCAGCTTCATGCTTGACAAAACAACTCCATTCATAGAGTTTCCTTGTTCACTATGACCGCTTTTACACCGCAGCCTCATGCTCGACACACTCCCTTTTTCATATTTGAGGAGTAATAAAATGTAATATCATTAATTATGTTACAAAAATAGAAAAAAATGTTTTTAAATATTTGAATATATATATATATATATATATATATTTGTATAGAGAGAGAAATACAAAGAAAGACGTCTAAATATAAATCAATAATTAAATAAAAATGCAAACAATAGAATAAAAAAAATCAATGCATAATTGTTTCATTTGGCTTGCTAAATGAGCCTCTTCTAATATATTATATACAACTCATATGTATTGTACGACTATATTATATGTATTATATAGGGTTAGTTGGTTAATTAATCTCCTAAAATCGACAACGTTCAATGATCAATTACAATTCTGAAACTAATTCTATTCTATGATGCATGTTTAATAACTTATGATTTATATCATGTTTTGAGCGTGTCACCTTTAATAACTAATTATCTTTGATAATTAATAATTTTTCTCGCAAGTGATGATATTAATCAATTGGGAAACATTGTACATTTGAAGCACATCGTCATAAGGAGAGGATTGAACGGCGTCTGTCCAGCTCTGCGAGAGCCCTAACTTGTGGACCGTTGAGGGTCCAAAACTGGCGGGAATTCCCGCCATTTCTTTCAAAGTCCCGCCACTCCAGATTGGCTCAGGCTCCCGCCTCATCGAAGCAATATAATGCTCGTAGACTGTCAAAGAGTTTCCATGTTCTCTCTCTCTCGTTCGGCGTCCCTGCAGTCCTCCTACTCTGACTATCTTCGCAGCTTTGCTCAGATTCGAATTTGTATTCTGCATTTTCAGTTTTAGTTCAAGTTTTCTTTGCAGTTTCAGTTTTAGCGATGGCGCGTACGAAACAGACTGCCAGGAAGTCCACGGGAGGGAAGGCGCCTCGGAAACAATTGGCTACCAAGGCTGCCCGCAAGTCTGCTCCTGCCACAGGAGGAGTGAAGAAGCCTCATCGGTACAGGCCCGGAACCGTTGCGCTTCGAGAGATTCGGAAGTATCAGAAGTCGACCGAGCTCCTCATCAGGAAGTTGCCGTTTCAGCGTTTGGTTCGTGAGATCGCCCAGGATTTCAAGACGGATTTACGCTTTCAGAGTTCAGCTGTCTTGGCGTTGCAAGAAGCGTCCGAGGCGTATTTAGTTGGATTGTTTGAGGATACTAACTTGTGTGCTATTCACGCAAAGCGTGTGACGATCATGCCGAAGGATATTCAGCTGGCGCGGCGCATCAGGGGAGAGCGTGCGTAGGCCTGTAGCCCCTCTCAGCCTCAAACTTCTACCCCTTCATCTTCCTGTGAAAGCTTCTGTACTTAATATGCTACATAGTTCGTGCCATCTCTCAGCTATGATGATTCGGAATTAGTGTAGTGCTAGAGAACGGTTAGGCAGGAGTAGAAGCCTTTCTTACCGTCTTTTTTTCCAGATAAATCCGTTTGTGTACATACCTGAATTACACTTGAGAGCTCACACACTGACTTCTGCTTCATTGTCTTCCTGAGGTGTCCATTAAAGAATCCGAGCAACTCCAACATTCCTAGATCGTTCTGCAGTGCACCTTCACCTCGAACCTTCAGTTCTTGTTCGAAGATGTGTCCATAGAACAACGATGAATCATTAAATTCTTTTGAACTTGGAATTATGGATCGTCTATATGAGTTCGCGTTGTTTAAATTTCATGTTAGCCCGAGGCAACAAGTCTGGTATCAGAATTGCTTGTGCAGATGGTTTGCCGAGCATGTTTCTAATACGAATGCCCTTCACCTGGATTGTCAGGCTATTCACAGACAGCGAGTCCTCCTTACAATATTTTATTTCTATTTGAATTGTAGCTCGCTTGATCCCTCGCTGACGAACGAAAAGTAATTGGCAGAAATTTATTCGTATATACATCACAAATTGCACGAAATATGTAACTAGCTTAATTAAATCTTTGTAACCAAGTTCTGAGAAAAGATAGTACCAAATAATTCTAAGGCGAAGTAACATAGAACACCTTTGACAAATAGACTATAATTTGCAGAGCCTAAGTTTGAACAACTCCTTAAGCACGTTTTCTTTGGAGCAATGAAGGCTATTCTAGTTAGGTCATGTTATTGGAGCCATACGGTCTGAAGTTTGATATCATGTGGTATGTGCTCGCTGTAGGTTTTTTAGTTTAATAACTTAATAGAAATCATCACATTGTTCTGAGATTGTTTTCTTTCCGGCTCTCTGGTCCTGCTTTGAACCACTATTGTCTACTGTCCTACAAGCTATACTCATTTTCTTCTAGTTGTTGCCACCTTGAGCAAGTGTATTAAAAATTTCAGGATCCACTTTTACTATTCATTTACGTGAACACTAATTTCGAAAAAGAAAAAAAAGTCATTTACTTTCTATTTTGGAAATTGATTCTTTGTGGCTGTTGAAAAAATATTGTTGCTGATTCTAAGAGATAAGCTTTTTTTTAGGTTATACAAGAAAAAAATGTATTCTATGTCAACTTTGTTTCTTATGATATTTGAGCTTACTATCTTAAATAAAAAAACCATCTAAACAATGAAAAAAATATAAATTAATTAATTAAATCAATTATAAAATTTAAAAGTTTTATTCTTTTATTCTCTCTTCCAGTCATAAAGATATCTTTATTATGCAATTAAGTGGCCTAATGGTAATAAAACAAATTTAAAACATCAACAACTAACATATTATTTATAAAATATTTAATTATGTATATTTTTTATATGGTATAATAAAAGTATATAGATTAAAATAATTATGTATCAAAATTTATAATATTTATCAACTTTAAGTTGACAATTTATAAAATTGTGGTACTAATCCTTAAATACTATTTAAATTCTAAATCTTCAATAAAAATAGGATATGTAAGAAAAATTGAATTTTGAAATCCATCTTCATAATACACTTTACAAGTTTATTTTAATTTTAATATTATTTTCTTGTGTTTAAAAAGACAAAATTAGTCGAAACACCTGCAACCATATATTAAGTTTTATACAATATTAATTTAATATTGTTGCTTTTAATCTACTAACAATAAACTAATGTTGATTTAGGAAGTTGTTAATGCCACATACCTCCCCCCTCCCCCCCCCTCGTTGCCACTTTATGACCCTATTAGTCTCGTCTCCACCATGTCTTAAATTTTCAGTTATTCTTGATAACAACTTTATTCAAATTCTCAAATTTGATGTATTCACTTGTTCAATTTTTATTTTTGATTGGAATAAATATTTGTGGTAATAAATATCACATCCAAATAATGTTAGGGATTGAGTCAGAATAATGTTTCAAACGACTATATTTCTATTTATAGAAATCAAAAATTCTATTTTTGATTGAATGTTAGAATAAAAATAAAACTTTATGAATTGCAGGATTTTCTTACATATATGAAAATGAAAAATTATTGTATATGTAGCTATGCGTATATTCTCTTTGTGGACAGTGTTTGCATATTATATCCTAGCATTCCTTTACCATTAAATTGTGAATTTAGAATAATAATAATGATGATGATGATGATGATAATAATAATTTTAATAATTAACTTACACAATAACTAAGCAATATGGTTTTCCTCTTAATTTTTTACATTACTTTTGTCATGCTGTATTTAATTTAAAAATTATCATATATTTGTACATACATAATGAAAGAAAATATGTCATAATATTATATTTCAAATATAAATTTATGGTTTTACTTCTTACATCCTTTAACTATAATTATTATTAATTTATTATTATCTAATCAACATGATTATCCAAATTTTTGGTGTATTTAGTTTCATTAAAATGAAATTACTATTAATTTTTAAAAAAATCAACTATTTTTTTAATTTTTTAAATTTATATTTTTATATGTTCAGTGTCTGTCTTACTTCAAAAAATGTTAAACAATACATTTGGAAATATATTTTGCATGCATTTGAACAACTTATACAGCAGTTTTTACTTATTGCAATTGTTTATAAAATTAATTTAATATATAAAAATAAAAAACATTCTAAATATATTTTCAAAAACTTGTAGTTTTTCTACCCAACATTAAATCTTATATCAAGTTTCATCCACATAAGTTTTTATGTGCATCCTATTAATGTATTTTAAAATTATATTACTGTGAACAGATATATATATATATATATACATATATATACACATCCCCATATACACACACATATTAAAACCAAATAATCATATATTACCATCTCATTGTAACTTGAACTTCAATAATTACAAATAAGTTTTCAACTAAAAATCAAAAAATAAACAAGTGAATACATCAAATTTGAGAATTTAGATAATGTACTAACATACAAAATTTTATTTCTAAAAAAAACAATTTCAAAAAATATTATAAATTTATCTTCTTTAGATAACTCATAGAGGAACATTGATTTATTTAGAGCATAAGTATCTATCACCTATTTTAGTTTCTTGTGCATATATATGTTATATTTCAAATATTTCAAGTCCACCTTTAATGATTTCATTTCATTGTTATTTTTATTCTTTTTGTAAATACTTATAATTTTAGATTTTTAGAGATATTATTTATGTAAACCAATCTATGAAAATTTTGTGTATTTTAAACTATGTAAGTCAAAGAATCACCAGATTTGAATAAGATCAAATAAAATTATATGTAATATTTGATCTATGGCAATTGCATTCAAATACTACATGTTTTTAATAATATTTCTTAATGCTACAGGTTTTCATCAATAATCCTAGTGAATCTTCGTAAAATTATTTTTGAAACTACTGGGTTTTATCATTTTCAAAAATCATGAAAAACAACATCTTGAAGCTTAGAATACATTTCATGTGCTGACTCATCTCAGAAACCCCTCTTTGGCGCCAAATGCAAACCTCCAGGTGGCAGCCACGTCAGACAGCTATTTATGCCATGTGGACATGCTCTAGATTAGTATTCAAGCCTTCATAGACATGCTAATTATATCCAGTACTTATCTAGTTTAAAGTTTAAAGTTTACCCCAATTGGGTTTCATATTTAGGTCACTTGAAATAATAGGAGATAACTGTATAAATGTGACTGATTGGTCAATAAAGCCTTAATATAACATAATATTTTTGCACAAATTATATGCATATGCATATGCATATATATATATATATATATATATAACTTAGTAAGAGTTAATTTCAAGAATTTAATATATATATTTTAGATGACATCTTTATTGTGTGTGTGTTCCTGTATATAAATTGAACAGAACTTAGTTGATTCATTTGAACTTTGTTATTTGAAATCAACAGTCATGATGTTTTTACTTACATGAATAGAGACACTTTCTTACTTGTAAATTTAAATTTATTATTTCTTTCTTCTTTTTTCTTTATATATATATATATATATATATATATATATAAATGTGTGTGTGTGTGTGTGTGTATTTGTATATTTATATGTATTCTAACACTAATTTATTAAAATTTTGAACTTTGTTTATTTGATTTAATATTTTGTGTCATTAATTGTATTATTTGTATTCATTAAAATTATAATGCTTTGAATAATATTTGAACATCATTTTTTAATGTTTTAAAATACAACTCAAGAATGTAAAACTTGCATGGTATCTTTTTACACACACACACACACATACATTTTTATATATATATATATATATATTAGACAAAATGTAAAATTGATGCATATATCACAAGTCAATTGAGATATTCCCAATGTTAATCTTCTTATCTTATTTTATTTACGAAAATAATTCTTTACAACATGCATATATAAATATATAACACGTGAGTTGGAATATATTTTATTAAATTTAGTGTACACAAAAAAATGAACCATCCTCCTATATTCAAAGACCCATAATAATGTATCATTATACTAATGTCGTACCTTTTTATATTGGATATTAGAACATTAATGCTAAAACGCAAATACAAAAAAATCTATGTCAAGATGTTAAAAGCATCATGACAAGATCAATTTACAGAAATCACTTATACTTTTTCAAACTCTAAGCATTAAAAAGTAAAGACCTAAAGTTATACTAAAATTAGATACTAGGAAATACAATCACAGATTAAAAATAAAAACAAACTTTACAGTTGGATTTTGATTTGTCTTAAAACCAAGTATAATAATTGTAAAATTTATTGAAATATGATATTAGTGTGTTATGAAATGTTCTAATCGTAAGTTGCATGTGTTAAAAAACTACATTCGACTTATGTTTCTCTTTACATATAAGTATATAATAATTAATTGATAAATGGTTTTTAATTGAAAATAACTTTACTTGAATTGGGGTCATGCAATTTTATAACTTTGAGATTAAAGACATGTATGAGAGTAAGAGCCCGCATGGGCTCTATTGAGATTGCTTCTTCATCAGCATGCAAGCATTGATTTGAGACATAAGTGCAAAGATTGAAGCCTATTCCATTTCTAGTTCAGAACAAAACTCTTAAGAGCTGAGGTGTTTTTTTTTTTTTTTTTTTTTTTTGAAGAATTCATGACAAATAATAGGACGCCACAAGTTTAGACTAGTGTGACTTCTTGTTCAAAGACAAAGGCTATTATTCTCTCATTTGTTATTCAATTCACAAAGCCTATATTTGGATTTATTTCTTTAAATATGACAATATTAGGGCAAAACATGAAGAGCTTCAAAAAAATGGATAAAAGCACCTGCACTTGTGAGGCTAACTTCTTTTTATTGCTTATAGACCCTTGCATGTATGATATCAATAATTGCAAAATGGTGTGTTGAACAAAAATAAATGTAATAAAATTTTATTACTGGATTGAAATCATAGTTATGTAACATGCAGATTCAACATGTTTAATTTTGGTATTGATTTCTTTGTATGTTTGAGCAAATACTACGAGCTATGCAAGCATTACTAGTTAAGATATATAAATTATGTAGAGCACCTTTATATTTCTTTGCATTCTTATACATACATCTAAAATTTACATATATACACACATACATACATACATGCATACATCAATTTTAATTTACGTTGATTGGTTAACATTTCATTGATTTCTTCGTTATGTAAAATTCATCCTTTCTAGTACAAAATAAATTATCTAAAATTAAAAACAAAAATCATTTTGCAACACACAAATGAATAGATGAAGTAAATTCACACATTCAGAACTTCCTGAAAGCAATGAAATTAATAATTTTAATAACAATAAAAGTGTATGTTTTAAGGATCACTTTACAGAGCTTACTATATTTGAAAGCACAACAATGAAAACTTCCACACAGTTAATGAGTGAGTAACTTACAAATAGATGCAATGTGGGGGAAAAACCCAAACCCATAAATTCGATACCCATGAATGCAGACAATCAATATGCATTCATTCATTAAATGAACCAAAGGACCCACGTCTGAACACAATCAGAGCCATATGGGAGAAAGAAAAAAAAAAGAAAAAAAAAGGGTCAATAGGGGCGTTAGAGTTAAAGTAAGAGGCTCAGAAGGGCAGCAGCACGGCACAGCACCGTCACTAAAAACAAACACTCTTACATCACACACCTCAAAGTACTTGAAAGCCCTAAAAGACGACGCCGAGAAAATAATAATCTGGCATCCTCGCAAACAGTCAGTGTCCCGAAGGCTGAGCACAGAAACGCACACTCCAACCTCTCAATCACTTAATCCCAATGGGTTACAATAATAAGCACTCCTCCCCAGCAAAACAGGGTCTGATTAGTGAGAATTGATTAGTGACGTGATTAGTGAGTGGTTAAAATAAAAAAGCGGGATTATCAAGGCCAAGGGACGAAGTCAACCCGACGGCCTCTGCGGGAGAGACAGAGATCGCAAGCCAACGCGACACGGCTCGCGCCCACATTTCCAGATTCGCGACGGTGAATCAGAACCAATAGCGGCGTAATTACCGCCGCAGCACGTACGCAGCGCCAATGCGGAGCATCAGGACGCGAAATTCCTCAGAGCAGGAGACCATCGCACGTCCCAGAAGCGCGAAAGGATCTGGGTTCTGTCGCAACCACCAGGGGCCAGCTTGCGGCAGAGACAGCGAGCGAGGGAGCGAGGGAGCGAGAGAGTCACAAACTGCATGTGCCCCCGATTACCCGTTATGCAGCAGCAGCAGAACGGCAGGGAATGGCACCCATGCGATAGCCGCATCTAAGAGTGCATAAGGGTATACCGTATCGAAAGGAATAACTTCCGAAGGGTGCGTATGGTTCGGAGAAAGCGACAGTAAGTGTGGGCTTGAAGACTGTGGTACTTCTGTAAAATCCGTCCCCCCATCGTACAAACTTCCCTGCCACGCCAACTCTTGCAATGCACCACCCAGGTAGATGCAGCGGAACCACGCTGCGCAACCACCTTCCTCCCCTGCTTGCTTGCTCCATTTCAATTTATGAAACATATTCTAGTTCTTGTTTTTGTTCATATTTCCGACTATCCCTACACCTAACCATCGCTCGCTGGTAATAGACTTCAGCTGGACGCCGCTTCTGTGAGGAAACGTAGAAGAAGCGACTGGTCGTGGTTGGAAGCATTTGAGGGAGTGTTCGGAAATCGCGGTTTGCAAGGTAGGTGTGTCGATTGCGGCAGCTCCGGGAATTTAATTTCTGCATTTAGCTTTTCTGGTTCTTGTGCCCTAATGTTTTGCTCAGTTCTGTAGTCACTCGCTTCTCCCCTTGACGCCTCTTTGAGGAGCTCCCGGAGCCCTAACCGAGAGAGGTTTGGCGCGACATCTGAGACGAGACTGGTCTACCGTAGGAATGCTGAGGCAATGGGACTGCGGGGTGGAATTCAGCTGAGTGCGCTTGGTGGTGCGGGATCGTAGGTTGAGAGATTTGTGGCGTTCAGTCGTTGCAGGAGGATGGAATTGTGATTGAAGTTGGTAGTGTGCAGCTGTGAAGTGAGTCTGGGTGAGAGGAGGTAAATGGGGAAGTCGGGGGATACTACGAGAACATGGTGCCGAATGGTGTCGTTCCAATGCAGCTGTGGTTACGAGGGGTTTGCACTTGAACGTTAGGGTCCGAGGTGGTTGAGATCCATTCGTTTGAAGCGCACAATGCCCTGAACTGTGGGGCTGTGGAGGATTTGTGGAGTGTGGGGCATGCACCTCGTGTCTGCTGAGTTTCTTGCAGTGGAGCTGCAATGTGTCGTATAGTCACGGGTTTGGTATCGGCGTTGTGAAATGCTAGGCCGCGCATCTCGGCGGCGGTGGGTGGGTGGGACTGGTTACGTTCGCTGTAGTTTCGCACACCCCAGCCAGGAGTGGGCGTTCGCTTCTGGGCACACGCAGAGCGCAGCGAAGTGTTGGGCTGTGGCGTGGCGGGTGCGGGATGTGTTGCGAGTGGCGGTGTGGGGTGCTAAGGGTCGTCGGCTACTGCGTGGGACAATTGCTGATATTTTCCGTTACAGGTGCACACGTGCTGTACGAATAGCGGCCTTTGGACATCTCATCGAATAGCGACCTCAGCGATGCTGGTTCTGTGCTAGGGTGAAAGGTGGTTGATGATATCTCGTGGAGCGTGTGGATGGGAGTAGGGTCGATCTTAGGTCAGGATGGTTTCTGAGGTGTAGTGCGTCGGTGGACGAGCACCGAGTAGAATGGTCTGGGATCCCTGCAGAAATGACATTGTTCCCGCGGCCTAACGAGGTGACGATGTGTGCAGGGTTTGGGGGTGCTAGGTTGGGCCGGCACGTTTGTGGGGGAGGAATTGGTGGGGTCGTGGATCATTTGCGAAGAGGCGCTGACATTGGCGCAGGTTTAGGTGGCACCAGATTGGGAGTGAGCAAGAACGGAGCCCGCTCCACTCCATTTTGGTAGATGCAAGGTGTGCAAGGCCGCGGTGGCGGTGAGGTGCGTATAGTGGTGGAAGTGGGTGCACGGTGAAATGACGACGGAGAGCCCGGTTATGATGATGGGCGGAGGGATGAGGGGGAACATGGGAGGTCCAGGGGAGGGGCTGAGGGGCGGGAGCGGAAGCAATCATGGTAGCTCGCAGGATCTGGATGGAGTGAGTGAGTTGGGTCGTTTGCTGAAAGGGCGGACGAGGTTCGACAACATTTTGAATTCTGGACACGTACCGCAACGAAGTGGCAGTGCTCCTCCCAGCGTGGAGGGGTCGCTGGCAGCGATGGGAGGGCTGTTCGACATGCCGTCGAGCCCGAAAGGCGGGCACGGCGGTAGCCTGCAAGCAGGGGAGGAGGAGGGGTTGAATTCGGAGGAAGCGCAGCGCGCAGATCCCAAGTATTTGGTGTATTACTATAGCAACATCAACCTGAACCCGAGGCTGCCGCCACCGTTGATATCGTGGAACAACTACCGGTTGGCGCATAGGTTGCCATCGGGAATGGGAGCTGGAGGATTCGGGGACAAGAAGAAGCTACGGTCGATGGACGAC